AATTGGTCCAATTACTATTCATTAGCATCACTACAAGTGTGCCAAATTTCATCATTTTCCTACTTACGGTTCATAGGGCTGCCATAGACTCCCATTCACGGAATAATAATAATAAGAAAACCAACAGATACAATAGGTGCCTCTGCACCTTCGGTGCTTGGCCCCTAATAAGAAAACCAACAGATACAATAGGTGCCTCTGCACCTTCGGTGCTTGGCCCCTAAAAACTAACAGATACAATAGGTGCCTCTGCACCTTCGGTGCTTGGCCCCTAATAATAATAAGAAAACTAACAGATACAATAGGTGCCTCTGCACCTTCGGTGCTTGGCCCCTAATAAAATACACACAATAAAAGCATAGACAGTACATGATCATATAAACCCACAAGCAGCTAATTAAAAGCCTGAACAAATAAATGAGTCTTTAGTCTGCATTTGAAGGCATCAACAGAGTCGAGAGAGCACATAGACGGTGGGAGGTCATTCCACAACCTAGAGGCAACAGCCTGAAAAGATCGGTCACCTCTAGTACGATAGCGAGTGCGTGGAACCGTCAACAGGTTCTGATCCACAGACCTCAGAGCACGCACAGGGGTATGACGCTGAATCAGGTCACTAATATAGGGGGGTGCCTGACCATGCAAAGCTCTGAAAACTAAAACCAAAATTTTAAAATTTATCCTGTAAGACACTGGTAGCCAGTGAAGTTCTTTTAGGATAGGGGATATGTGAGACCTCATATTAGTACGTGTTAAAATTCTGGCTGCAGAGTTTTGTACTAATTGCAGTCGAGAGAGCTCCTTCTGGTTCAGGCATGAAAATAAACTATTACAATAGTCTAAAGGCGAAGACACAAAGGCATGAAAGATAAGCTCCAAATCATTACGTGAAACCATATTTCTAAGTTTCGAGATTTTTCTTAAAGGGTCATGAAACCCTAAACCAAATTTTCTGAGATTTTAACAGAGGTATGTGTGTTGAACAACATTGAAGACAATGTTAGCATCTGTTAGATTTAATAGTAGGGCGAAAATGGTTAAATTTGAGTTTTTTCCAGCTGTTTTCTTCTTCCGGGTTTAAAATCTTCATCGCAGGCTGTGACGTGGCAGAGCACAGTGTAGTGCGTTGATGACTCATCGGTCTCTCATAATTATTAATGAGACTGAATTTTTATATCCTATGAGAAGACACGGTCTCTTAATTATTCATGCCACCATGTGGATCTTTCCACAGACATGTCAAACTGTGATATTGCGTATGCGTAGTAAAGGAGAGAGACAATCATGGGACGCAAGTGCCGCCAACATTTTACCCGAGAGAGCTTCGAGAATTGGAGAATGGATGACTTCGGCCTTGTCGATGACCAATGCAAGTTACGTCTTGCGAGTAATGCGGTACCAAGTCCTGAGGACTTTTCTATCCCTTCAGAGTGTGTCTAAAATGTAACCCTGGTCATTTTACTTGCCTTTTGTTAAATAAGCGGTCGTTATGAACATATTAGATATTTCGATAATATATCAATTGTATGCTTAATGCGGGAGACTTGTGAATGTGTAGTGTTGACGTGCGGGCCGGGCGACACCGTGTTGTGTGTGTGTGTGTGTGTACGTGCAGGCAGGCGAGCCTGCGAAATGATTCGGGGTCAGAGAGAGAAGCAGCAGGATGTGTGTTTGGACGAACGACTGAAAACTCTGAGATTATTGTTCATTATTGATCGTACATTGTACGGAGGTCAAAATTATTGTACAAATATGATAATTATCTGTATATCTGGCAACACTGCTGGCTGATGACAGTTCCCCCTCTCCCCTGCCGTGCCACACCCACTCCCTCCCTTCTTCTCACAGCCATCCACGCCCATTAAGTTGCATTTTTCAAAAAGATTATGAGCTAGACTTGAGCTGATAGAGGGGGGTTTCATGAACCTTTAATTGAAAGAAGCAGTTTCTCGTCAGCTGCTTGCAGTGCTGCACTAATGACATATCTTTGTCCAGGATAACTCCCAAATTTCTAAGACTTGGCTTAGCAGACTGGCCTAGATCACCCAAGTATTGTTTAATCCCAGGGATTGCATCCTCCGGGGCAATGATCAGTGTTTCTGTTTTGTCTGCATTTAGCTGCAGGGAGTTATCACTTAGCCATTTTTTTAATTTCCACAAGACAAAGGAGCAAGGAGTTTAACTTACAGATCTCTGCCGGCTTAAAGCAGCAGTAAAGTTGGATATCATCAGCAAATAAGTGAAAAGAAACATCACTGAACCTTTGTATGATCTTTCCTAAAGGGACCAAATACAACAAAAATAAAACGGGACCCAGAACAGAGCCTTGAGGCACTCCACAGAGCAAGTCCGCAGACTCAGACCTTATTTGGTTAGCTGTAACACTGAAACTACGCCCAGAAAAATATGAGGTGAACCACTGCAGAACTGACCCTGACAGCCCTACTTGATCCCTTAATCTTTTCAGCAAAACCTGGTGGTCGACGGTGTCAAAGGCTGAGGACAGATCCAAGAGAACTAGAACAGTGTGTTTTCCAGAATCAGCAGACATCATAATGTCATTTGACACTTTCAGTAAAGCCGTTTCAGTCGAGTGTTGTTTACGAAAACCTGACTGAAATGGCTCATGGATGTTACTTTTGTCCAGGAAAAATGTCAACTGTTCGCAGACTACCTTCTCAATGATCTTGGATAAAAACGGGAGCTTAGAAATAGGCCTAAAACTATTAAAATCCGACGGGTCCAAACCTGGCTTCTTTAGTAACGGTTTCACTATAGCATGCTTAAAAGCATCTAGAAAAACGCCAGTAGACAGCGAAAAGTTAACCATTTTGGTTACACAAGGGCCAATTTCTTCCAACACTTTTTTGAATAATCTGAAAGGAATGACGTCCGATGAACAGGAAGATGGCTTCATCCTGGTCACCAATTCGGAGATATCAGCAATCGTCACAGTCCTAAAAGTGGACCACTTGCTGGAGACTGGCTTAAAGACAGCAGCGGTACCCCACGGATGGGACGGGATTTTATCTTTGATCATTTTGATTTTATTAGTGAAAAATCCCAAAAAGGCATTGCTGTCAGCTTCACAAAAAACAGGGATAACTGGGGCAGCAGGGCAAACAAGTGAATTGATCGTATCAAACAGCACTTTAGGATTTTTTTTGTTTAATGTTACTAGATGACGGATATAGTCAGATCTGGCTTTTCCAACCGTCTCATTATAGGACAACACAAGATCCCTGAGATACAGCCTGTGCACCTCAAGGCTAGTGGATTTCCACAGGCGTTCAGTCTTTCGACACAGTCTCTTAAGATTTAAAATCTCTTCATTAATCCAAGGCCACATTTTTTCCCGAGTAGCCAAGTTTGATTTAACAGGGGCCACCTGATCCAGAATTTTTACACAGTGATTGTTTAAACAGTGAACGAAATCATCCACATCGAGGCAGTCCATAACTAGAGTAGGATCAAACAAATCAGAAAATGTATCTGCAGTATTTGCCGTGATAACACGTCTCTGAGACCTAACTACTGGAAGCTTTGGGTCAGAGCTGAAGTGAAGATCAAACAGAACAATATTATGATCGCTCATAAAGAAATCATTTACAGATACGTTTAGTATATCTAGGCCAAGTGTAAAAACTAAGTCTAAAATATGGCCTTTTTGGTGAGTAGGCCCAGATACATGCTGCTTAAAATTAAAAGTTTCAGTCAATGTTAAAAATTCCATTGCGGGGCAAGATGAGCTGTCATCAACATGAAGGTTAAAGTCCCCAAGGATTAAGACAAATTCCAGCTTAATTATAGAGGATAAGAAATCACTAAAATCCCTAAGAAAGACAGCAGCAGGGCCAGGAGGTCGATAAACCAAAATACAGTAGAAGGAGGATGAGAAACCCACCTTGACCATCTGCAATTCAAAAGAAGAGAATTTTTGGGGCAAGATTTCATTACATTTGTGAATGTCCTTGTGCACAATAGCCAGTCCACCACCGCGACGACAAGGGCGGGGCCTCCCAATAGCAGAGCAACCAGCTGGGCAGAGCTCATTTAATTGAATAAGCTCTTCCTCTCTCTCATGTCTCTGACAAACACATAATATCCATAATATTGTCTGTGTTTGCGCTACTTGCATCATTAAGCCAGTAGGTGGCGACAAGTGACTCTTCATGATTGAACAATTCAACCATTAAATGAAGATTAGTCCAAAAACATCGATTAATTTAGGAAAGAAAAAGAAGCTGAAACTGATCTTTGATGCTAATTGCTCTTATGATCTATACACAGAAGGAGTGCTCTGGCATTTGATTGAAATTTAACATCTATGCAAAATAATTCTTGAATCATTTATTTAAGGCCATTCTCGTTGACAATGCACATCCCACAATATGGGATTGTGCATTGTAAACAATAAGCATAACAAACTGAGAAGCTGCCTTCCAAAATATTCCTGTTTTCTTTAACCCGAGGAGTCAAATGTATTTAAAAGGTCTGTGTGACCTGTTCACTTCTGTATGCTGCTCCACATATGCAGATTGCAGGACAAAGTATTGTTAATTTGGCCAAAATCAAACGGGATTTTCTCCAAGCAGAGATTCTGTTGAATAAACAGTTTGTGCCACACACAATTAATAAATGTTGTTCATTGACCTTCATGTACCTGTCTTGATAATCAAGAAAATATTGTTTGGAGCCGGAAACATGGAATTGGCCTGTTAATGCTATTATAATTATATAATATTTAATTTTTAATTACATCTGAAAAGTAATTAAAAGTTTTTTTAGTCCCCCCAGTGCCAGCGCTGCATATAACACACATTTTTTATTTCATGTGCACTTTAACCATTATATTACACAAAAAAAAAAACTCATACAGTTCTGCTATAGGAACACATAATGGTTAAAACCGAAAGGGATCGTTCTAAATTAGGCAACCGCTTCAGCAGGACTTTTGTTATGAAAACGCGTTGTTCGTCATTGTGGTGTTATGCTTCCTCGGGGCTTCCGTAAAACTAAAGGCGCGAGTTCAGCAGCGGTAACTTACAGCTCCTTATATTTACCTCTTCGGGAAGTGAGTAACACACAACACACTCGTGAAGCTAAAAGATTATGTTTAAACGCTGATTATGCTTTGCTAGTCGCACGTGTCTATGATCCTCAAGCGGAAGTGAGTGTAATGTGTGTGTTTCGTGCAGATGTGTGTGTAATGTGTGTGTTTTGCGCAGATGTGTTCACTCAGCCTGTTCCCCGCGCCCGTGACCGCCGGACTGACGCTGCGCGAGCACAACAACGAGCTCGTGCCCGGACAGCCCCACACACAGGTGCGCGTGACACACACACACACACACACACACACACGGTGACCGTTCACTTCACACACTTCATTCACTCTGGCAGTGTTCATGACCTGTTGAATGTCCGAGACTATAGTTGAATAGACATTGGATATCATGTATCAGGATTCGATTAGAACTACAAACACATATTTTGAACAAACAAAAAAATTGATTTGTACAAACTATAGAAATAGATAACTTATTTTAAAATTATCTACATATATAAAGATAACATCTCCCTGATTATGTACACACTAACAACTAATATGGTCCACATGGATGAGGATTCGATGATAAACAAACACGGATAAACGGTGTTAGAAACTACAAACACGGCGGATGTGCGAGACTGACTGTTAAAGGGATACTAAAGTAACTAGCAGACGGCTGTACGCATCGATTTATGCCAAAAGAGTAACCCTTGAACTTGACGCACAGCGTAATGATGAACGCGGTTGCCCAGCGCCGTGTGTGTGAACCGCGAGAGGCTCAAAGCTCACGCTACTCCTGCATCTACGTCCCGCATGCGTCACTGGTTACTCTAGTGGCGTAAGTCGACTTGCGTACGGCCGTCTGCCAGAAGCTTGTTATTTTAGTCAATAAAAGTTTTAAATATGGATATTTTTCTTACACGGACGCATCTCTTCACTTCAGAAGGCATTTATTACCCCGTGTGGAGCACTTTAATCATGAATGGATGCGCTTTGATGGACTTCCAAAGACATACAGCCATTCACTGCCATTATAAAGCTGGGAAGAGCCAGGATATTTTTTAATATAACTGATTGTGTTAGTCTGAGAGAAGAGTGTCATATACACTAGGACGGCTTCAGGCAGAGTAAATCATGGGCTAATTAACATGATGTGTTTGTTGTGTGTGTGTGTGTGTGTTCAGTGGTCGGATCTCCCCAGTCCTCAGTTCACCAGAGACTCTCTGAAGGGTCACAGTCGCCCCGAGAGCAGCAGCAAATCTGCCTTCCTGGACCAGAGGGACACGCTGTGGATGAGGAGCGCCGGAGCCTGGTGAGTGTGTGTGTGTGTGTGTGTGTGTGTGTCTGCCTTCCTGGACCAGAGGGACACGCTGTGGATGAGGAGCGCCGGAGCCTGGTGAGTGTGTGTGTGTGTGTGTGTGTCTGCCTTCCTGGACCAGAGGGACACGCTGTGGATGAGCGCCGGAGCCTGGTGAGTGTGTGTGTGTGTGTGTGTGTGTGTGTGTGTGTGTGTGTGTGTGTCTTCCTGGACCAGAGGGACACGCTGTGGATGAGGAGCGCCGGAGCCTGGTGAGTGTGTGTGTGTGTGTGTGTGTGTGTGTGTGTCTGCCTTCCTGGACCAGAGGGACACGCTGTGGATGAGCGCCGGAGCCTGGTGAGTGTGTGTGTGTGTGTGTGTGTGTGTGTGTGTGTGTCTTCCTGGACCAGAGGGACACGCTGTGGATGAGGAGCGCCGGAGCCTGGTGAGTGTGTGTGTGTGTGTGTGTGTGTGTGTGTGTGTGTGTGTGTGTGTCTTCCTGGACCAGAGGGACACGCTGTGGATGAGCGCCGGAGCCTGGTGAGTGTGTGTGTGTGTGTGTGTGTGTGTGTGTGTGTGTGTGTGTGTGTCTGCCTTCCTGGACCAGAGGGACACGCTGTGGATGAGGAGCGCCGGAGCCTGGTGAGTGTGTGTGTGTGTGTGTGTGTGTGTGTGTGTGTGTGTGTGTGTCTTCCTGGACCAGAGGGACACGCTGTGGATGAGCGCCGGAGCCTGGTGAGTGTGTGTGTGTGTGTGTGTGTGTGTGTGTGTGTGTGTGTGTGTGTCTGCCTTCCTGGACCAGAGGGACACGCTGTGGATGAGGAGCGCCGGAGCCTGGTGAGTGTGTGTGTGTGTGTGTGTGTGTGTGTGTGTGTGTGTGTCTGCCTTCCTGGACCAGAGGGACACGCTGTGGATGAGGAGCGCCTGTGTGTGTGTGTGTGTGTGTGTGTGTGTGTGTGTGTGTGTGTGTGTGTGTGTCTTCCTGGACCAGAGGGACACGCTGTGGATGAGGAGCGCCGGAGCCTGGTGAGTGTGTGTGTGTGTGTGTGTGTCTGCCTTCCTGGACCAGAGGGACACGCTGTGGATGAGCGCCGGAGCCTGGTGAGTGTGTGTGTGTGTGTGTGTGTGTGTGTGTGTGTGTGTGTGTGTGTGTCTTCCTGGACCAGAGGGACACGCTGTGGATGAGGAGCGCCGGAGCCTGGTGAGTGTGTGTGTGTGTGTGTGTGTGTGTGTGTGTCTTCCTGGACCAGAGGGACACGCTGTGGATGAGCGCCGGAGCCTGGTGAGTGTGTGTGTGTGTGTGTGTGTGTGTGTGTGTGTGTGCGTGCCTTCCTGGACCAGAGGGACACGCTGTGGATGAGGAGCGCCGGAGCCTGGTGAGTGTGTGTGTGTGTGTGTGTGTGTGTGTGTGTGTGCCTTCCTGGACCAGAGGGACACGCTGTGGATGAGGAGCGCCGGAGCCTGGTGAGTGTGTGTGTGTGTGTGTGTGTGTGTGTGTGTGTGCCTTCCTGGACCAGAGTGACACGCTGTGGATGAGGAGCGCCGGAGCCTGGTGAGTGTGTGTGTGTGTGTGTGTGTGTGTGTGTGTGTGTGTGTCTGCCTTCCTGGACCAGAGGGACACGCTGTGGATGAGCGCCGGAGCCTGGTGAGTGTGTGTGTGTGTGTGTGTGTGTGTGTGTGTGTGTGTGTGTGTGTGTGTGTGTGTGCCTTCCTGGACCAGAGGGACACGCTGTGGATGAGGAGCGCCGGAGCCTGGTGAGTGTGTGTGTGTGTGTGTGTGTGTGTGTGTCTGCCTTCCTGGACCAGAGGGACACGCTGTGGATGAGCGCCGGAGCCTGGTGAGTGTGTGTGTGTGTCAGACAACAGTGATCCTCAATGATCATCATTCATGAATGTATTGGGGTTCCCTTTCGAGAGCGGTAACCCAACATTGCGTCAGCTGACGCTGCGGGAACTCCTCACTTCTCCACTTTTGTTGAAATCTTATTGGCTAACGCCAGCTTGGAACAGTTGGCCAATTGTCGCGAAGTATGCAAATACTGACAGACTCGAGTTCCAAGACTGTTCCAGGCTGGTGTTAGCCTATAGCAGGGGTGCCCACCCTGCTCCTGCCGATCGGCTGTCCTGCACAGTTCATCTTCTACCCTAATAAACCCTAAATAGACTGTCAGTGAATAACTTGCGACTTGCAGTGTTTACGTTTAATCCTTTAGCAGACGCTTTTATCCAAAGCTACTGTAACCCAGCCATTGATCTTAAAGAGGCCATAACATTACTAGCGCTTCTAGTGTTTAAGTTCACCAAATGAGTGGTGATGGTCTCCTCGTAGTCATAATTCTTTGTTTAAAATAGAATTCAGATTCTCCCACAATTCTGAATAGACAACTAGGCCTAAACAAAATAACAATTCCCTAGAGGCTCTAAGGTGTTAATTGCTGCAGTCTTATTTTAAAAAATTTAATTAATTAGTTTTTAAAGAATTGGTTTGAGTGATTGATTCAATGACTCTCCTATCTCTCTCTCTCTCAGGCGAGATGCGGGTCTGTACGGTCTCTTAGACGAGATCACGAGCAGTGCTGATGAAGGTGAGTCCCGGTCACATGATCACGATGTCTCCGCAGAGGGGGTGTGTGTGTGTGACGTGTGTGTGTGTGTTTCAGTGCCCAGGTGCCTGTCGGTGGGCTCGGCCTGTCTGCTGGCTCTGCTGAGATGGGCATCCTCGTTCCACGGCTCTCTGTTCCCTCATCTGACCGTGAGTACAAGCGATCCAGCTTCTCCTCAGCGCCACACACACACACACACACACACTCTTAAACACACGTCTCTGTTCCCTCATCTGACCGTGAGTACAAGCGATCCAGCTTCTCCTCAGCGCCACACACACACACACACACACACTCTTAAACACACGTCTCTGTTCCCTCATCTGACCGTGAGTACGAGCCGTCCAGCGTCTCCTCAGCGCCACACACACACTCATAAACACACACACACACACACACACACACACTCATAAACACTGCTTCTGCTTCTGTTTGCTAGCTGAGCCGCGACGAGATGGTGGCAGAGTTCTCACAGATGCTGGACTGGTACGTCATCTTATCAGCCTATGGTCACGTCTGTCTGGAGTCCTTATCCAGTGTTGATTGCATTGTGAAGATATAATGCTCATCTGATTCAATCCCTTCTGTTGAAACTCAATGCAAGCATATTAATGGGTCCTGAACTGAGAACGTTTATGAGCCTCTGGTCTGAAGCACTTACAGAAACCACAGGGTGTGTGTGTGTGTGTGTGTGTGTGTGTGTGTGTGTGTGTGTGTGTGTGTGTGTTTCAGGTCTGACGGCGCTCTGAGGAGCTTCGCTTGGCATCCGCACACGGATAAGTTCGCTGTGGCGTTACTGGACGACTCCATCAAGATCTACAAATCCCACAGGTACTCCAGCGGACACAAACACAGCTCTTACTGATATTACACAGCCATTCAAACTCACAGACGCCAACATAGTCTCGGCCCAGATCCGGTACCTGTGGATTCGACGCGGCCCAGATGTGGGCCGGAACTGTCCGGATCTGTCTGGGTTACCATTACAGATCATCATACACCATAAGTCATGTAACAGTGGTTTAAACCACACTGACTGTTTACCTGTGTTTTGTCGGACCCATAACATTAGTTTAGTCAAAGTTAAATGGACTTGAGTTAAATGTGACTGATGACATTTTTTGGGATATTTGCATCAGAAGTCAAAAACTATGTCTGAGAGCCTTGGTTTATGCTCTTTGTTGAACTGTATAGTTTTCTAAAACACAATGCGCTGTTGTTTACAGCCGAAAAAACAATATAAGACGCTAATATTTTCAAGATCAAACTGCAGATAAATGGGTTTTTCCTCTCCCAAAAGAAGAGATTCTGAACTGAAACGAGTCGTCAGTAATTCAGTCTCTCTTCCTGCTGATGTAGGAACACTTCCTGTGTAGGTTTGTAACTTATTTGCATAATGCCCACCTCTGGTCTTGATTGGCTGAACAGCGTCTCTTAGCCCCGCCCTCTAACACTAGTGTATCTGCGACTGGAGGAGTTCGGCTCGTGTTGTTCGTGTCGAGGAGACGCTGTTTTCTGAGATTGATACGGTGAAACCCACGCCATCGTTACTGTTCGTATCACTGTGATCAAGACCTGAGATTCAGTTATGATAATGAGTGTTTGGTTTCTGACCAATCAGAGCAGAGCAGCTCTCAGAGAGGCGGGGCTTAGAGAGACTGAATCTTTGAATGAACCGTTTCAGACACTGAGAGTGTTTTTGACGGTAGATAGGTGCATGTAAACCTGTTGTAGGAGACTCAGAAACAACATTAGGAACCTAAATAGCATAACATGGGCAGTTTCCTCAGTCCTGAGAGTGTGTGTGTGTGTGTGTGCAGCGTGACGAGCCCGACGCTGAAGCACCGCTGTCAGAGGTCTGTGTGTGCGCTGCAGTGGAAGCCTCTGTGTGGCTCTGTCCTCGCTGTGGCCTGTCAGTCCTGTCTGCTCATCTGGCACGTGGAGCCCACCTCTCTCTCTACCAGGTACCACACACACACCTCTCTCTACCAGGTACCACACACACACACACACACACACAAACACAACTGCTCCAACAGGTACCGCATCTCTCACACACACATACACACACCACTGCTTAGGGGTGTAACGGTACACAAAAGTCACGGTTCGGTACGTACCTCGGTTTTAAAGTCACGGTTCGGTACGTTTTCGATACAGCAAAAAGTAAGAAATGCCCGAGAAATTTCCTATTTGTTAAAAGAAAAAATATTTTTTAAATAAGTGTGAGTTTTCCTACATCTTGAAACTTTCAGGTTTATAAATGGGTGTCATCTTTGAAGGATGAACAAATAATGTTTTGGTCATCACATTAAAAATAACATTTAAATATATGAAGAGTTCAGATGCAAAAGCCATTTGAAATTTTCTTCTAGAATGATCATTTTTATCAAGCTTGTATATTTAAGTTCAGTAATTTCACTTAAATGGCAATGAAGATTATTAATTGTCATTTGAGTGAAATTACTGAACTTAAATATACAAGCTTCATAAAAAGATCATTCTAGAGGAAAATTTCAAATGGCACTTAGAGGCGTTTGCATCTGAACTCTTCATATATTTATTTATATAATATTTGAGTTTTGAAGTGCTGGAAAAAGATGTGTGAAGTACTTGAAAGCATTTCACTATTCCAGCCAAACTGGTTACAGTTAGTGTTACTATATTAGATCCATGGTGAATGTTGCTGGTCTGTGGACGTAAAGTATTACTAGTTCATTCACGGCACAATGTTTCTCCTGGTGTCCACGTCAGCGCTGTTTGATCTGATAGAGATCTACGGTTAATAACTGAGAAATGTGAACGCTTCTCACTAGATCTCGCAGCGATGTTATTACTTCAGTGGCGAATTCAAATGTTTTCTTCACTGGATCTCTTAGCGCTGTGTTGTAACAGTGTCGCTTGATCGAGATCGGCTCGCGCTGCACAGATGTTGCTGGTCCGAACTGATAAACGATCCGTGAAGCACATAATGAGTAGCGGAGTTTCGTTCCGGTTTCATTACGCTTGCCATTTGATGTTGCTCAACGTTGTGGTGATCGCGCCAGCGCGAATTTTGTCGGCAGGAAAAATGGTCCTAGGAATCGTTCGGTTTGTATGCGTACCGAACCGGAAGCCTCGAACCGAAACGGTTCAATACGAATACATGTACCGTTACACCCCTACCACTGCTCCACCAGGTACCGCATCTCTCTCTCTCTCACACACACACACACACACACACCACTGCTCCAACAGGTACAAGACAAATTTTCCAATCAGGGACAAAGTGTATTGAATGTAAAGCTGTGCGAGCTGCAAACCCCATCTCAGTGTTTAACGAGCGCCACCAGAACAGGCGTGAGTGTTGATGGAGTGTGTGTCCCTCAGGCCGTCGTCCGGCTGTGCGCAGGTCCTGTCTCACCCGGGGCATTCTCCCATCACATCCATGGCCTGGTCCCCCACCGGCTCCCTGCTGGTGTCTGCGTCCCCGGTCGACTCGGCCATGATGGTGAGGCTTACACACATCTCTGTGGAGCTGTGGTGTGTGTAATCAGTCATCAGCGCTGTAACACTGGCCTGTGCTGATGCGTGTGGGATATCTCAAACTATTTCCCTTCCTTAGGTGTAACAAATCAATTCTGACCCAGATTTCATGCCCAAACATTTGTGTTGACTGTATTGCGGTGTGAGTGTTGAGCTTGTGTTGTGTGTGTTGTGCAGGTGTGGGACGTGGCGGCCGAGAGCTGTGTTCCTCTACAGCGAGTGGGTGGCGGTGGCGTCACGTACCTGTCCTGGTCTCCTGACGGCAGCCGCCTGCTGGCCGCCACACCGTCGGCTCTCTTCAGGTGCCACACACACACACACACACACCCACCGTCGGCTCTCTTCAGGTGCCACACACACACACTCGGCTCTCTTCAGGTGCCGTACACACACACACACACTCGGCTCTCTTCAGGTGCCACACACACACACACACACCGTCAGCTCTCTTCCGGAGCTGTACACACACAAACACACACACACCGTCAGCTCTCTTCAGGTGCCGCACACACACACACACAGCTGACCTCTGGCTTACAGGACCAATATATCGCTCTATCACGGTGACGATACACACTGACAGTGTGCTGTAGGACTACAAGGGTTGGGAATCAAATACTTGAGGTCTGGAATCGGATGCTTGTTATAACACTGAAATGTCGATTCCTCTTATCGATTTCTTTGTGTACATTTTAATATGACTTTAAACAATTCATGCGTTAGACGAGTCTGTTTTCTGTGTTGTTCACAGATATAGTTACAGTATATTGGATCCGTGCAGCTCTTAAAGGGACAGCACTAATATTCCTGCTGCCGTCTCTATAATAACACTAACCAAACAACAAAAGACTAAGAGAGCATTCACTCGTTCATAGAAAATGTTTAAATACTAATATCAGCTTACTAGGGAAACGGAGGCGGAGTTAGTGGTGCTTCGGAGGCTGAGTGCTGGAGATGATTCGCGATACCCAACCCTAAGTACTACTGAAAAATCCTCACTGTTATCTGCATACCGACAGCTCAGATGGCCAGACAGTGACGTTACACATGAACTGATAACTATAGGTTGTGTTCTTTGTGTTGTAGGGTTTGGGAGACGCGCATGTGGACCTGTGAGAGATGGCCGTGTCTGAAAGGCAGTTGTCAGGTAAGAAAACGTCTCGGTTACGTATGTAACCCTCGTTCTCTGAAGGAGGAAACGGGAGACGTTACTTTGACATGCCGACGTAATTAAGATCAGGAAGCCTTATCATCTTTGAGTATCTACAGAACGAGCCAATGAACGTTGGCATGCGTGATTCGCGTCATGCGCCCCGCCCCGCCACGGAGTTATATATACGGAACTTTTGTTTTTCGCTGAGGAGCCGAGATCGTGACGGCCGTACATCGATGGTTACCAACCGTGGCGACGGGATGCAGCGTCTCCCGTTCCCTCCTTCAGGGAACGACGGTTGCATACATAACGAGATGTTTCTTTCAGTCGGTCACCTTCGACATTACGTCAACATGCCGACGTAATTGGGATCCACTATGGAAAACGCCACGGTTGCTGCCAGATCCAGCGCCATACGCAAGACTCTCAGACCCCCTACTGACTGGGGCGGAAGGCCTGTGTAGAGGGAGTGCGAACTGCTGTTCCGTATAACCCATCCAGGGGAGAGGGACGCTGCAGAGCCACATCCTGCTCGAGGGAGGGAACGTGGAGAACACACGTATGGACTGGCCGATGTCACTGGGGTGGCTCCAGCCTGAGAAGGAGAAGACTCTGCCAGGGGAAAGACACGGGCTCACCGCAGGGAGCTGATTGTGGAAGAATACACATGGGATCACCGCACGGATCCCAACATATAGAACCCAGTTTAGCACAAGCTACAAAAGCATACGAGCAGCAGGACGTGCACCAGGGCCTGGCGTACGTCCGACTGCCGAAGGTGTCAGGAGAAACTCTACAGGGTTAGCCTAAGTGGGGAACTCGACTGGAGCAAAAAGCGCACGTATCCCCTCCATGTGGAGGTGAGTGGCGCAGCAAGCCGACACTAGAGCGGGGAGACTTTGGTGGTACTAGCTGGTTGAAAGCGAGCAGACGGGAAGAAAAACCGGCTCGACGTGTCAGAAGCCGGGCCTCCATAACAGATAAAGAGAGCTGGTCTGAGGCCCTGAGGCTTTGCGTTCTGTCCACATATAGGCGCAGAGCGCGAACGGGACAGAGAAAAGCCATGGCTGGGTCTATCTCCTCCAGTTCACCACCTGGTCCTGGAAGGGAGTGGTAGGAACCTTGGGCACGTATCCGGGCCGGGGTCTCAGGATCACGTGAGAGTTAGCCGGCCCGGATTCTAGGCACGATTCATCCACAGAAAATGCATGCAGGTCCCCTACCCTCTTGATGGAGGCCAATGCAACCCAGAGTACATGGACAGGATTTTTAACTCTGCTGATTTGCAAAGGCTCAAAGGGTGGTCTCTGAAGAGCCGAGACAAATCCCATGAGGGTATCGAGAGCACGCGTGGCGGATTCAGTCTCCTCAGGAACCTGACGATCAGGTTGTGCTGTCCCATCGATTTGCCCTCAACTGCATCGTGATTTGCAGTGATAGCGAGAACATACACTTTGGAGGGAGAAAGTAAAGGATAGGATGGAAGGAAAGCTCTGATTGAGCAAGTTTGTGGGTTCTCCTGGTGAGAAGAACACCACTCAACGAACAGGTTCCACCTCAACGCATGTCAACTACCGCCTGGGGTAGGTCACCTAGAACCTCCGCGTCCCTTCCAGTGACTAGACATGGAGTTTCCCGAGGTCTGGACGCGGGTGCTATAGGGTGCCCTGCCTCTTGAGAGAGCAGGTCCTCTCTAATGGTCCGGTTTGGCCAATACGGCACAAGCAAGACCTGCTCCTCGTCCTACCTGACTTTGCCCAGTGTCTGTGCAAGAAGGCTCACTGGGAGAAATGCATACTTGCGTAAACGGGCGAGTTGTGACGTGGCGGGAGCGTAGACCACCCTGGCGGTTGATGTACGCAACGCCCGCAGTGCTGTCCATTCGTACCAGTACATGCTTGCCTAGTAGCGGTGTTTTGAAGCGGCCCAGCGCAAGGTGTACTGCTAACAACTCGAGGCAGGTGATGTGCCAATGCTGTTGAGGCCCTGTTCACAGACCTGAAACTGCATGTCCATTGTGCGTGGCCCCCCAGCCGGTGGCAGAGGCATCCGTGGTCACCACAACATGCCTGGACACTTGTTCTAGGGGAACACCTGCCCGAAGAAACGAAGGGTCCCACCACGGGCTGAGACCCGACACGAGCCACACTGCCACGCCCATCTCGGGACTCGACCGTGGAGCCAGTGTTGAAGCGGCCTCATATGAATCAATCCGAGCGGTGCTACCGCGGCTGCAGATGCCATATGCCCCAGGAGCCTCTGAAATGTTTTCAGTGGTGCCGCTGTCCTGCGTCTGAGCATGTCCCTGTGTTGGCACAACTGCTCTCTCGACTGAGCCAGTCGCCGAGGTAATTGAGAATGTGAACACCACGCTCGCACATGGGAGCAATGGCCGCCACCGCAACTTTCGTGAAGACACGGGGTGACAGGGCCAGCCCGAAGGGTAAGACTTTGTGCTGAGGTACAAACCAATCTTGGGGACTGATGCACTTGAAAATGCATTTCTGCGTAAGCATCTTAAACATCAGCCGGTAAAGGGACCGGTTCAGGACAAGCAGGTCCAAGGTTGTTCGTAACCCACCTCCTTTCTTGGGTACAATAAAGTACGGGCTGTAGTAGCCGGTCTTCATATCGGCTGTAGGGACCAGCTCCCGCGGTGGGGCAGGAATCGGTATAGCGGCCCGAAGTGGGGTCTGAGAGCAACACAGTGTGCGGAGGCTTCTTGGGAGCGTGAAAGACAATGGTGCTAGAAACCCGACACGAGCCACACTGCCACGCCCATCTTGGGACTCGACCGTGGAGCCAGTTTTGAAGCGTCCTCATATGAATCAATCCGAGCGGTGCTATCGTGGCTACAGATGCCATATGCCCCAGGAGCCTCTGAAATGATTTTGTAGTGTCCGCTTCCGTGTTTATACCCACACATGACGTGTTTCATGCACGCCAATGTTCATTGGCTCATTCTGTAGGGACTCGAAGATGATGGGGCTCCCTGAAGTGATCCCAATTACGTCGGCATGTCGACCGTGACTGATTGAAAGGGAACTCCTCTAACTAGTGTAAACATCATCACACCTGCCAGGAAGAGTGATTGATGGTGGTTAAGATCCCTGGCTCACTCAGTGTGTGTGTGTGTGTGTGTGTGTGTGTGTGTGTGTGTGTGTGTGTGTCAGTCGGCCTGCTGGAGTCCCGACGGAGGCTGTCTGCTGTTGAGCATTCAGGGAGAGCGGCTCGTATACGCTCTCACCTTCTCTGACCTCACAGGTATGAACATCAGCACATCGTCTCCTGCTAACCGCTAGTGTGAAAGAGGAACGGGAAGGCTCAACAACACATTATTTGATTAAATAAACTAGTTTCATTCATATTGTACTGACCTAAACTAACTGTGTGGAAAAGCTTTCTTTACAAAAATAAGTTTGTTCAATGAGCTTAAATTAGTTTCATATATGCAATGTACAGTATATAATGTACAAATAAGAAGAGACTAGTGTCAGTACTGGCTTTAGTGTGATTATTACTAATTAAGTGAAGCAACTAAATATTACAGGAACACCACTGAACATTAAACACTGACATGTCTTTCCCTTCACTGAAAGACACATAACATTTACTCTCCTAATGCAGTTCCCTTGCAAAGCATGCGGAGAAAACTACAGATCCACTGCCCTGGGGCCGTATTCACAAAGAATTAGAAGGCTAGAAGTAGCTCCTAACTGGCGAATTTAGGAGCAACTCCTAAAAATAATGGCCGTGTCACTCCTAACTTTAGGACTCCTAATTTTTTTCACTAAGAGTAATTCACGAAGCATTTTAGCCCTAAAAGTAGCACCTAAGTCTGGGACAGCTTAAAAGAAGTCGAGAGGACTCCTAACTCACTAAGACCTATTCACAGAGGATTGTAGCGCATCCCACCGCCTCTCGCAGTCGTCCCGGGTCCGCGGCACAAGCGGGAATGCTGCATTAATCTGCAGACAAATCCTCTCCCATTCTCACGCTTAGGTTTGCTTGATATCCCAGTGCCGAATTCACTTTTATTATGTTTTTTTTTCCAGCACCAGCTGGGCCAGCAGCAGTAACTGATCCTGCGTCCAGTTAGGCTTTCTTTTCCGTTTTGGCGAGTTCATAATCCACCGTCATTCAACTCTATTACTTTACTTCAATAGGAGCAACATTTCCTTGCTTTATGTAGTCTATTTAGGCTAATAGGATGTCAATTAACCAAGCAAGTGTTAATGCAAGTGTCGTTTTTCATTATTAGGCAAGTGGCGGTTTTCATTGGGGTATTGGGCTACCTTGATTTAATTTAATTCACGACTTTTCTGTCTCTCTCTGCCTTTTTAGAATTACACTTAACTGGGGCCTGCACAAACATGTCATTATATATGCATTTCGATGACATTACTATTATTATTTTGTGTAGGACACAGACATATTTAGATTTACATATTTAGATGTTGTAATTCCATGATTTGTTGCGTCTGTGTTATGTTCCGCATGATGGCCCTGTCATCTAACAACCAATCACCGTGATCATTGCGAGGAAGCTCGTGCATGAGAATTGACGTCATCTATAGCAACGAAGACTCACTCTTAGTTTAGGAGTTGTCATTTTTCCTTATAAAGAGTAGGTCTGAAAGGCGTTGTGAATAACTTTTAAGAGAAAACTCCTAGCTAAAATATTTTAGTGCGATTTAGGAGTACTCCTAGTGGTAAGATAAAATTCTTTGTGAATACGGCCCCAGATGTCAACTAGAATGATTCATGTAGTTTGAACACAAATGGATTCAGTTAGCTTCAGTTTTAATATATTAGGCGGATTGAATGAACGTTTTTTTAAATTAAGTTGACTAAATGTTCAAGAATCATGTTGCTTTGGTGGCCGATATATCATGCACCCCTACTGATTACACTTGCTATGTCATATCAAGAAGTTTAGGAGATTATTAAGCATTTAAAGCATGATGTTAGCATGAACGATCATGATCTGAGAGTGGTGTTGTCTTCGGCGGTGTTTCAGGGGGTCCTAAAGCCGCCACAGTGGTGGCCGACCTCTCCGAGACCAGCTTCCCTGGACCTGATGGAGAACTCACGTAAGACTTTACATGCAAACCTGTGTACAGAGTGGGTCAGGTGACCTGCAGTGATACAGAGCAATGAGGGCTGCAGAAATACTGTGAGCAACTGAACCTCAGCAGGTGTTGACCGTGTGTGTGTGTGTCTGTGCGTGTGTGTGCGTGTGTGTGTGTGTGTGCGTGTGTGTGTGTGTGCGTGTGTGTGTGTGTGTGTGTGTGTGTGTGTGTGTTCCCGTGTGTTTGCCAGTGTTGGGGGAGAGGTGTGCTCGCTTTCATGGGACCCGAGAGGAGAGAGACTGGCTGTGCTTCTGAAAGGTAAAATACAGCCCTACTGTATCCACACACATCACTAACACCTGAACACATACAGCTGAACTCGGGTGAACTGGCTTGACCAACCTGACCTGGAAGCTGTGTTTATGATGCCGTCTGTCTAGCTTAAACGCTGGAAAACATTCATTCATGTTGTAAGGTCAGGAAACCGATAATGATGATAAGTAGCAAATGACCAGGAACATAAATATGTTTGTGTGATTTAATCTGATGCTATCAGTGTTATATTTCATCTGCAACAACACTTGTAGTTTAAATCAAAGTGAAGCCTTCAACATGCACACATCGTACATAATTCCTTAAAGTGGGTGATCCCGATCGAAAGCCACCTTGGTTTCAAAGGCTGTAACTTTATTTATTTATGCTATCAACACACAATATGATCCAGAGGCAGCTCACATGTAGGGGAACGTCTACTTCTGCCTTATTTCTTTCCTGAGTTATTGCATGTCAAATATGTAAAAGAAATGACCTGGAACACACTTGTTTTTCTTTTCTCAGCAGTTTCTCAGCATGAGACTGTCCACATGTAATGTTTTACTTTCTTATTTTTCTACCGAATGATACCTGCCCTTTGACTCTGTAGTTTTGGAGTTATGATTCTTTACTTTTGTGTATGGCACTCAGAAAAAACAACAGTTCTAAAATCCTTCAGGGCTCATAGGGTTAAATCAGGGTGGATTCTGATTGGCTGTCAATTTTAAATCGTTCATCAACTGTAAAAAATCACTGAAAGTGAGTCCAATGATATTTCTCTGTTGTTATATTTGTTTGGACTTTGACCTAATATATTTAAAACGATTTTTAGACCGATATATTGTTATTACTGTATACTTTACTGTATACTCTGCACATGATTTTGTTTTGCAGGTCAAAATGTTTATAATATTACAACAGAACCTCTTCATAGCTTTGTCCCCATGACATAATAATAAAGATAATGTCAAACTGCTCTCCTGTTTCCTCCAGTCTCTTTAACACAGCTGTTTTGTGCAGGCGATCCTGTGGCCGATAATCACCCGTCGGTGATAGCCGTGTTCAAGACGCGCTCCGTCCCCGTCTTCGAGCTGCTGCCCTGGTGCGTATGAGGCAAACTCTGAGGAACACTACCACACACATTACTAGGGATACACCGATATCAACATTTAGGCCGATACCGATAATACTTTGTTTGAAAACCGATATATCGGCCGATAAATCTAAATCCAAATTTTTATATAATTTTGAGAGCCTGATTATAAAAACTAAAGTGTCACCGTTAAAAAGTAATGTCCCAAACACACAATTATAATGTTCTCATTATGGTTGTAAGTAGCCGATATGACAGACTTGCGCTGCACGTGTTGCACTGAACTGTATTTTCCTTTTATAAATGATTTCAATCATATTTCAAGCAGTTCAGATCCATCATGTTGAACAGTCGCATCTGAAGCGTCTCAGCGGAAGCAAATAATACATTATTTATCGGCTTTAATATATCGGCCAAATTTCTTATCGGGCCGATAACGATTAAAAATGATCATATATCGCCCGATACCGATATGGTGGCTGATATATCGTGCATCCCTAGAAAACACTCATCTCTGGTCAGAGTTGCTTTTACTCACTAACATTTGAGTTATGATATTGTGATACATAGTGTTTTAAAATATTTGTTTCATGTATAGTGATGTCTCACAGTCAATAATTTTGAGCATTTTTTCACATTTGATACATTTTGTTTGAGTCTAAATCTATTTGTTTTGTTTTTCCCTGATAGAGCAGAATAAGTATTTGGTTTTAGCGAATGATCATGAAGTATCGGATTCGTGTGAGCCTGATCAAGTGTTAATCTCTGTGTGTGTGTGTGGTTCAGTGGTTTTGTGATGGGAGAGGCCGGAGCCGAACCCAGATTCATGCAGTTCCACCCGCACTTCCAGCACGGCGCGCTGCTCACTGTGGTGAGTCTCACTGGTGTAACCAACACTCACCCAGAGGAAACTGGGCCATGGGATCAGGCCATGGATCGAGTGCTGCAGTCTATGAGGCCTTCCTCACCGTAGACACCTTCACAAGTGCACACATTACAAGACAATTCTGTCATTAATTACTCACCCACTTTTCATTTGCTTTGAGCAAAAAAACATAATTTACCACTTTATTTACAAAATATTATTCTCCGAGCGTTCGCGAGATGTGTTGCTGACGCGAGAGCAGATGCCGTTGCGTGAACGTTTGTTGGGGATTAATATTTTCTAAATCAAGTGGCAAAACTTTTTTTTGCACAAACAAACCCCTCGCACCGCTTCATAAGATTGAGGTTAAACCACTGGAGTCACATGGATTACTTTAACCCTCTGGGGTTGTTCGTTTAACAGTCACACTTGGGGTGTTCGGGTACCCAAAGGGCAGGATTCATATTCAACAAAAAAAATCATAATTTTTTTTTTTTACTTGTTTTTTATAAAAAAAATTCTTTTCTTTTTTGGTGTTTTGAGAATTTTATGATTTATAATTAATATTTATGCAATAATTATGACCCATTTTTTCCCATTGAACATAATAGAATTTTTTTATTTTTTATTTAAAATGTTTTTTTTTTTATCAAAGCTGTATTACATCTTAGAGTGAAGCCTAGGCCTCATGAAAGCAATTTAAAAAAATATATAGATGCCATCTGGTGGACACACTGAGCATTTTTATCACGCAATAGCACATTTTTACCACTAGTGGATTTACAGCTCTCTGTAGAAAGGCTTGGGGATTTCTAGTGATTTTTGCAAATATATACAAATTTTTTTTCAAGTTGTTGATTTTTAAAATATAAAAACAGATTCTCAAAGACTATTTTTGTCTTGTTTTTTGTTTGTTTGGTTGGTTTAGATGGTAATTTGAAGTGCCAGTTTTAATTTATCATTATTTTAATTCAAACATTTCCCAAAATTAGCTTTCATTTGTGTGTGTGTGTGTGCCTGTTTTGCACTCTTGATGTTTTAGAGATTCACCCCTTCACCGTTGAGTCATTTTTTCTGCATTCTGGCTGATTTGTATATTGTATGCACAAAGAAACTGTTTTCATATTTTTGACAATTTCCCATTCATTTCCAATGGGGGTCATTTAGACCCGAAGGTCCTGAGTGTGATAATTGTTTTTTTTACAACCACTTAGACTATTCAAATAGACTATTCTATTTGAATAGTCTGTGTTTTCATATTGAATAATCTATGTTTTCAAATTTTTGACAATTTCACATTCACTTTCTACGGGGGTCCATTTGGACCCGAACACCCCAAGTGTGACTATTTTTTTTACAACCACTTAGACTGTTCACATCCTGTCCCCAATGTTTATGGGTGTTCATATACCAAATACCAACAAAGTCACCAAATTTCGGACCATTCCGAAGAAGCTGTGATTTTTAACATTTTTTTATTTGAATGCTTCGGGTCCATTTGGGCCGAACAACCCCAGAGGGTTAATAATGTCTTTACTATCTTTCCGGGGCTTGAAAGTGTCAGTTGGGTAGCTGTCAATGGAGGGACAGAAATCTCTCAGATTTCATCAAAAATATCTTCATTTGCGTTACGAAGAGGAACAAAAGTCTTACGGGTTTGAAAACATGAGTGTGTGTGTGTAATTAAAGACAGAATTTATTTTTGGGTGAACTAACCCTTTAAATGTGGCAAATCAGTGTAATTACCAGATTGACTTTTCCAGTCCTTACACAAGTAGGCTTGGGTGTCGTTTGAGTTTGAGTTATTCCAGTTCTCATTCTTTTTCGATTCCCAGTTTCAGTTCCAATAAGGTAGACATTTAGATATCAAACACATTTATTCTGTGCCTTTTTGTTGTAGATGAATCCCATGAACAGAAATCAGTAAACAAAAACACAACAGCTAAAACAACTAGACTTACTCATATAAACAGTTCAGTAATAAAATAAGAAACAAATTAACAAAAGCTCAAACAAACACAAAAGAACAAAGTTCAGGTACAGAAATTGAAATCAAATGTAAAATAACGCTGCATAGTTTTCTTAGGCTGCTGTCACTTTAAGGGCGACGTGTTTGCAGAGAAAAGAGTTTCTTTCCCATCCTCTTGTGCTTCGAAATGCGCAGACAGGAATCAATACGCAGAACTGATGCTGTTTGTTTTACATAGAGATGCCAACTCAGTGTACATCACACACTCAAGTCTCTCTCTCTCTGTCTCTGGTAGTGCTGGTCTGACGGGCGAATCTCTCACGTGCCGTTTTACTTCAGCAGCGCGGGGCTTTTAGGAGAGTCACAGAAGCAAGTCCTCGCCAGCAACACAACCCATGCTCCCGCCAACAAACTCTACACTGAGATCATCTCATGAACACATTCACTAGCTCCACTTCACCTGTCAGCTGTCATAATAAACTATTTTTGCAGCATAATGTGTGACTTGTGTATATTTGCAGGTAAAACTATATGAGCCCTTTGTATTTACTTGGATTGTGCAGAGAGTGGAGAGACTGGATCTGGAGTCAGAAGTTAGTTAACCTGTAGTCCAGATCACAGAACAGCACATCTCTGAGCTGAGTGAGTTAGTGGAGGTGGGGCTCATTTGCATATTCATAGCACCGTGAATACTAAATAAGGCAAGGGTGTTGTTACAATAAAGTTATTTTAAGGCATAAAAGGAACTTTTTCAAAGAAAAAAACATTTAAATATGTGATTTTGGTGATCAAAGATGAGTTTTAAGGTATACAATTATTGAATACAGGGGGACTTTGTGGCTCCGTGGCTCCTTGCCCCCTCAGCACCACCTGAGTGCGTCGTCCGTTCGGCTCCACCGTGGCTCCTTGCCCCGTCAGCTCCACCTGTGACTGTCGTCCGTTTGGCTCCACCGTGGCTCCTTGCCCCGTCAGCTCCACCTGAGACCGTCGTCCGTTCTGCTCCACCGTGGCTCCTTGCCCAGTCAGCTCCACCTGTGACTGTCGTCCGTTCGGCTCCACCGTGGCTTCCTTGCCCCCGCAGCTCCACCTGAGACCGTCGTCCGTTCGGCTCCACCGTGGCTTCCTTGCCCCCGCAGCACCACCTGAGACCGTCGTCCGTTCGGCTCCACCGTGGCTTCCTTGCCCCCGCAGCTCCACCTGAGACTGTCGTCCGTTCGGCTCCACCGTGGCTTCCTTGCCCCCGCAGCACCACCTGAGACCGTCGTCCGTTCGGCTCCACCGTGGCTTCCTTGCTCCCTCAGCTCCACCTGAGACCGTCGTCCGTTCAGCTCCACCGTGGCTCCTTGCCCCCTCAGCTCCACCTGAGACCGTCGTCCATTCGGCTCCACCGTGGCTCCTTGTCCCCTCAGCACCACCTGAGACCGTCGTCCGTTCGGCTCCACCGTGGCTCCTTGCCCCCTCAGCTCCACCTGAGACCGTCGTCCGTTCGGCTCCACCGTGGCTCCTTGCCCCCTCAGCTCCACCTGAGACCGTCGTCCGTTCGGCTCCACCGTGGCTCCTTGCCCCCTCAGCTCCACCTGAGACCGTCGTCCGTTCGGCTCCATCGTGGCTCCTTGCCCCCTCAGCTCCACCTGAGACCGTCGTCCGTTCAGCTCCACCGTGGCTCCTTGCCCCCTCAGCACCACCTGTGACTGTCGTCCATTCGGCTCCACCGTGGCTCCTTGCCCCCTCAGCACCACCTGAGACCGTCGTCCGTTCGGCTCCACTGTGGCTCCTTGCCCCCTCAGCTCCACCTGAGACCGTCGTCCGTTCGGCTCCACCGTGGCTCCTTGCTCCCTCAGCTCCACCTGAGACCGTCGTCCGTTCGGCTCCACCGTGGCTCCTTGCCCCCTCAGCACCACCTGTGACTGTCATCCATTCGGCTCCACCGTGGCTCCTTGCCCCCTCAGCACCACCTGAGACCGTCGTCCGTTCGGCTCCACTGTGGCTCCTTGCCCCCTCAGCTCCACCTGAGACCGTCATCCGTTTGGCTCCACCGTGGCTCCTTGCTCCCTTAGCTCCACCTGAGACCGTCGTCCGTTCGGCTCCACCGTGGCTCCTTGCCCCCTCAGCTCCACCTGAGACCGTCGTCCGTTCGGCTCCACTGTGGCTCCTTGCTCCCTCAGCTCCACCTGAGACCGTCGTCCGTTCAGCTCCACCGTGGCTCCTTGCCCCCTCAGCACCACCTGTGACTGTCGTCCATTCGGCTCCACCGTGGCTCCTTGCCCCCTCAGCACCACCTGAGACCGTCGTCCGTTCGGCTCCACTGTGGCTCCTTGCCCCCTCAGCTCCACCTGAGACCGTCATCCGTTCGGCTCCACCGTGGCTCCTTGCTCCCTCAGCTCCACCTGAGACCGTCGTCCGTTCGGCTCCACCGTGGCTCCTTGCCCCCTCAGCTCCACCTGAGACCGTCGTCCGTTTGGCTCCACCGTGGCTCCTTGCCCCGTCCGTTCGGCTCCACCGTGGCTCCTTGCCCCGTCAGCTCCACCTGTGACTGTCGTCCGTTCGGCTCCACTGTGGCTCCTTGCCCCGTCAGCTCCACCTGAGACCTTCGTCCGTTCGGCTCCACCATGGCCTTTTGCTCCCTCAGCTCCACCTGAGACCGTTGTCCGTCCGGCTCCACCGTGGCTCCTTGCCCCCTCAGCTCCACCTGAGACCGTCGTCCGTTCGGCTCCACCGTGGCTTCCTTGCCCCCGCAGCTCCACCTGAGACCGTCGTCCGTTCGGCTCCACCGTGGCTTCCTTGCCCCCGCAGCACCACCTGAGACCGTCGTCCGTTCGGCTGCACCGTGGCTTCCTTGCTCCCTCAGCTCCACCTGAGACCGTCGTCCGTTCAGCTCCACCGTGGCTCCTTGCCCCCTCAGCACCACCTGTGACTGTCGTCCATTCGGCTCCACCGTGGCTCCTTTCCCCCTCAGCACCACCTGAGACCGTCGTCCATTCGGCTCCACTGTGGCTCCTTGCCCCCTCAGCTCTACCTGAGACCGTCGTCCGTTCGGCTCCACCGTGGCTCCTTACCCCCTCAGCTCCACCTCAGGCCGTCATCCGTTCGGTTCCACCAGGTTTCCTCATCCCTCTGGCTTCGCCTTGGACAGTCATTGGTCTGCCGTCGTCTCTACACCCCTTTGGCTCAGTCGGGCTCCACCTCATTCCTCATGCACTGTCTTCACCTCAGTCTCTCGTCACCACGGTTCTGTTTTGGTCTCAGGACATTGTCGCCTGGTCTCGTCAGTTATGTCTAGAACTCAATCAACATCAGCCTCATCTTTCGTCCCCCTGGTTCCGTCTGCCAATTCACCTCCATGGCTCCTCCCTCTCTTGACTTCGCTGTGGGCTTACGTCATGGGATTTCGGCTGGTGTTTTCGCCCTGGCTCCTCATCCCTCTAACTCATCCCTGGCTTCTACCTAGAGATGGCAGAAGTACTCACTTCTCATACTCAAGTAGAAAGTACAGATGCTTGTGTTAAAAAATACTCTGGTAAAAGTAGAAGTACTGATTTAACTTCTTTACTCAAGTAAAAGTAAGAAAGTACAGGCTTGGAAATTTAAAGTATAAAAGTAGCCTTGCGAATGACAACCATTTTTAATGCAAAGCTACCTGCACCACACAATTGTAGAGTGCAAGCTGAGAAACTTAAGTGGATATGGAAAAAAGGTTCTTTATATGCCATAGCCTACATTTTACATGGATGCCAATAGGCCTAAAACATCACATATACACTCACCTAAAGGATTATTAGGAACACCATACTAATACTGTGTTTGACCCCCTTTCGCCTTCAGAACTGCCTCAATTCTACGTGGCATTGATTCAACAAGGTGCTGAAAGAAACCTTCTTTAGAAATGTTGGCCCATATTGATAGGACAGCATCTTGCAGTCGACGGAGATTTGTGGGATGCACATCCAGGGCATTAAGCTCCCGTTCCACCACATCCCAAAGATGCTCTATTGGGTTGAGATCTGGTGACTGTGGGGGCCATTTTAGTACAGTGAACTCATTGTCATATTCAAGAAACCAATTTGAAATGATTCGAGCTTTGTGACATGGTGCATTATCCTGCTGGAAGTAGCCATCAGAGGATGGGTACATGGTGGCCATAAAGGGATGGACATGGTCAGAAACAATGCTCAGGTAGGCCGTGGCATTTAAACGATGCCCAATTGGCACTAAGGGGCCTAAAGTGTGCCAGGAAAACATCCCCCACACCATTACACCACCACCACCACCAGCCTGCACAGTGGTAACAAGGCATGATGGTTCCATGTTCTCATTCTGTTTACGCCAAATTCTGACTCTACCATCTGAATGTCTCAACAGAAATCGAGACTCATCAGACCAGGCAACATTTTTCCAGTCTTCAACTGTCCAATTTTGGTGAGCTCTTGCAAATTGTAGCCTCTTTTTCCTGTTTGTAGTGGAGATGAGTGGTACCGGGTGGGGTCTTCTGCTGTTGTAGCCCATCCGCCTCAAGGTTGTGCGTGTTGTGGCTTCACAAATGCTTTGCTGCATACCTCGGTTGTAACGAGTGGTTATTTCAGTCAAAGTTGCTCTTCTATCAGCTTGAATCAGTCGGCCCATTCTCCTCTGACCTCTAGCATCAACAAGGCATTTTCGCCCACAGGACCGCCGCATACTGGATGTTTTTCCCTTTTCACACCATTCTTTGTAAACCCTAGAAATGGTTGTGCGTGAAAATCCCAGTAACTGAGCAGATTGTGAAATACTCAGACCGGCCCGTCTGGCACCAACAACCATGCCACTCTCAAAATTGCTTAAATCACCTTTCTTTCCCATTCTGACATTCAGTTTGGAGTTCAGGAGATTGTCTTGACCAGGACCACACCCCTAAATGCATTGAAGCAACTGCCATGTGATTGGTTGATTAGATAATTGCATTAGTGAGAAATTGAACAGGTGTTCCTAATAATCCTTTAGGTGAGTGTAGGATTATTGTGACAGAGACTGGGACTCCAGGTTAATAAGATTCTGACTGAGTAGCAAGATATGAATTCAATTGTGATTATGTGAGAATTCACAGATCCAGTTTCTCTTTTTTAATCTTCCCCTTAACATTTAAAGGAATCTACATGTATTTGTGTGTGCTCAATTATGGCTTCTGGAAAGAAAATAAATTATAAATTACTAAATAGATATTAAGAAGTTCCCCATACTTTTAGAGTTACAACTAGCAACCACTAGATGGCAGCAGCGTATAAGAACTGACAGCTAGTAAATCTTTGATTTGGGCGAATGAATGCCGTCGAATTTTTCAAGTTATCTTGTAGTGGTGCGTCAAGTGCAACATATATTCCAATCCAATTAGATTGAATTCAGTATTGATGACGTGAAAAATAATAACTGTAACTCCACTGAAGTTATTTGAAACTAAAGTAACGAGACAATTTTGTAAAATATAAGGAGTAGAAAGTACCGACATTCGTGTTAAAAATGTAAGGAGTAAAAGTAAAAAGTCGGCACAAAAATAACAGTAAAGTAAAAATATCTGAAAAATCTACTTGAGTAAAGTAACGGAGTATTTGTACAGGGCGGGGCAACCTGTCACTCACATGAGATCCACCAATAGCAAACCACATCCATCCAACCATCCTATCAATTTGTCATGGACAAAATCAAGCCCCGCCCACATTAGGTCTTGTTCCTGTAGAGTTTCACTCAGATATGACACAAGCAAAGAATGACTTCTGATTAATGACACGTTAAAAAATAAATGGGGTTAGATTCATTACTGTACTCATGTATGAACAGTTTCTTTTGTCAGGCTAATTTGTAATTTGAAAAAAAAAAAAAAATTAAGTGCAATTGTGTTGTATTATACCCAATACAACTCACTAAAACAAATCTAATAAACAGAACTTTACAGAAAAAAAAAGTTACATAATTTGTAATATTTCAAATGATCATGTGTGTGAATTATTATTGCTGCTGACTATTTTGGATTAAATTCGTCCTCATTGAATAAAGAGGCGGCACTCTGTGGTAACAGCTCAGCAATGCTGTTTATAATGTGTTTATAAAATGCAACAGTGCATTTATAATGTTAAATGTTAAATATATAATAATCCTGTAGGTAAATATTACTGGTGCACCAGTGCATGTTTGTGTGTGAAGAGGGCTGATTCCTATATGGGATGTTCACGGTAACGCGCATCAGCGGCACGCGCTTCATCACACACACAGGGCAGCGCGGTCACGTGATCTCCAGGAGTCCCGGCCGGACCGGAGAAATGTCCGTTCATCCGAGCATCGGTGATTCAGCTCGAACTCTTCAAACGTCCACCCTATCTCAGTGTAGATGTTATTTAGTGATGTATAAATGTGACAAGGTGGAGTGCAGCGAGCAGCGTCGGTGAAGAGACACGCGTCGCGTCGCGTTTGCCGCAGGTAGGCTGCGGTGTTTCATCATTATGTGCTTCACATGCAGGTCCAGTTATGAACTTCCAGCACAGCGATGACCACTGTCGAGCTGACCCGCGGTGTGGGACTCTAATGCGGGATTAGCGCTTATTAAAGCCTGTCATGATGTTGGGCAGTCACTGGTTTCAGCAGATGGGATGATGACGCATGTGTTTCAGGATGGGACAAGATGTCAACACACACACACACACACTTGCTCTCAGAACACAATCCTTAAATACCATCATTTAAAGGGGTTTTAATGAACCCTTTGACTTTCTTTTTTCAATAGAACACAATATAAGATTCTGAAGAATGTTCTCGCTCTTTTACAGTAAAACATCATTGTAGTTGACAGAAGTCATTACGAAAATACTTCACGCAAATTATAATAAATGTTTCATTTAGCTTGGCCAGTGTTTGGAGTGAAATAACTTGTTTAAGGGATAGGTCACCCAAAAATTAGCCCATGATTTACTCTCCCTCAAGTCATCCTAGCTGTATATGACACTCTTCTCTCAGACGAACACAATCAGAGTTATTAAAAATGTCCTGGCTCTTCCAAGCTTTATAATGGCAGTGAATGTCCGTTCCTGTTTTGAAGTCCATAAAAGTGCATCTACTTGTTATAAAAGTGCATTGTTGGATATTTTTCTTACACAAACTCATCGCCTAACTTCAGAAGGCCTTTATTAACCCCCCGGAGCCTGTGGAGCACTTTAATCATAGACAGATGCACTTTTATGATGGATGGATGCACTTTTATGATTGACAGATGCACTTTTATGATGGATGGATGCACTTTTATCATAGACAGATGCACTTTTATGATGGACAGATGCACTTTTATGATTGACAGATGCACTTTTATCATGGATGGATGCACTTTTATCATAGATAGATGCACTTTTATTATGAATGATGCACTTTTATGATGGATAGATGCACTTTTATGATGGACAGATGCACTTTTATGATGGACAGATGCACTTTTATTATGAATGATGCACTTTTATTATGAATGATGCACTTTTATGATGGACAGATGCACTTTTATGATGGACAGATGCACTTTTATGATGGATGGATGCACTTTTATGATTGACAGATGCACTTTTATGATGGATGGATGCACTTTTATCATAGACAGATGCACTTTTATGATGGATGGATGCACTTTTATGATTGACAGATGCACTTTTATCATGGATGGATGCACTTTTATCATAGATAGATGCACTTTTATTATGAATGATGCACTTTTATGATGGATAGATGCACTTTTATGATGGATATATGCACTTTTATGATTGACAGATGCGATTTATCATGGATGGATGCACTTTTATCATAGATAGATGCACTTTTATGATGGAAAGATGCAGTTTTATCATGGACAGATGCACTTTTATGATGGATAGATGCACTTTTATGATGGACAGATGCACTTTTATGATGGATAGATGCACTTTTATGATGGACAGATGCACTTTTATGGACTTCAAAACAGATTCAGCCATTCACTGCCATTATAAAGCTTGGAAGAGCCAGGACATTATTTTAATATAACTCAGATTGTATTCGTCTGAAAGCAGAATGTCACCTAGGACGGCTTGAGGGAGAGTAAATCATGGGCTAATTTTCATTTTGTGTGAACTATCCCTTTAACTGCTTCTGCACCTCTCTCTCTCTCTCTCTCTCTCTCTCTCTCTCTCTCTCTCTCTCTCTCTCTCTCTCTCTCTCTCTCTCTCTCTCTCTCTCTCTCTCTCTCTCTCTCTCTCTCTCTCTCTCTCTCTCTCTCTCTCTCTCTCTCTCTCTCTCTCTCTGTTCTCCATATTTTACTACCAGCTGTTTTGGCATCTGAGGCCAAGTCCTGTCTAATTAAATGAAGGGATCCTGAAAACAGCTCGCCAAACTCACATTTAAATAACATATTTCAAATGAGCAACAAAATCCGGACATTAACTGTCCCATAAATGTGGTTTCTTATGCTTCAATAGCATTACAAAAGCGTATTTCCCGGCTGGAGCAGCCAATGCAGTCATAACACTCGTACACTCATACATAACACTTGTACATAATACTCGTACATAACACTCGTACATAACACAACACTCGTACATAACACTCGTACATAACACTCGTACATAACACTCGTACATAACACAACACTCGTACATAACACATAACACTCGTACATAACACTCGTACATGACACAACACTCCTACAACACTCGTACATAACACTCGTACATAACACAACACTCGTACATAACACTCGTACATAACACATAACACTCGTACATAACACTCGTACATAACACTCGTACATAACACAACACTCGTACAACACTCGTACATAACACATAACACTCGTACATAACACTCGTACATAACACTCGTACATAACACAACACTCGTACAACACTCGTACATAACACATAACACTCGTACATAACACTCGTACATAACACAACACTCGTACATAACACTCGTACACAACACTCGTACATAACACAACACTCGTACATAACACTCGTACACAACACTCGTACATAACACTCGTACATAACACAACACTCGTACATAACACATAACACTCGTACATAACACTCGTACATGACACAACACTCCTACAACACTCGTACATAACACTCGTACATAACACAACACTCGTACATAACACTCGTACATAACACATAACACTCGTACATAACACTCGTACATAACACTCGTACATAACACAACACTCGTACAACACTCGTACATAACACATAACACTCGTACATAACACTCGTACATAACACTCGTACATAACACAACACTCGTACAACACTCGTACATAACACATAACACTCGTACATAACACTCGTACATGACACTCGTACATAACACAACACTCGTACAACACTCGTACATAACACATAACACTCGTACATAACACTCGTACATAACACTCGTACATAACACAACACTCGTACAACACTCGTACATAACACATAACACTCGTACATAACACTCGTACATAACACTCGTACATAACACAACACTCGTACAACACTCGTACATAACACATAACACTCGTACATAACACTCGTACATGACACAACACTCGTACAACACTCGTACATAACACATAACACTCGTACATAACACAACACTCGTACATAACACTCGTACATAACACATAACACTCGTACATAACACATAACACTCGTACATAACACTCGTACATGACACAACACTCGTACAACACTCGTACATAACACATAACACTCGTACATAACACATAACACTCGTACATAACACATAACACTCGTACATAACACATAACACTCGTGCATAACACTCGTAAATGACACAACACTCGTACAACACTCGTACATAACACATAACACTCGTACATAACACTCGTTCATAACACAACACTCGTACAACACTCGTACACAACACTCGTACATAACACATAACACTCGTACATAACACATAACACTTGTACATAACACTCGTACATAACACATAACACTCGTACATAACACATAACACTCGTACATAACACATAACACTCGTACATAACACATAACACTCGTACATAACACTCGTACATAACACTCGTACATAACACTCGTACATAACACTCGTACATAACACAACACTCGTACATAACACTCGTACATAACACATAACACTCGTACATAAGACTCGTACATAACACATAACACTCGTACATAACACATAACACTCGTACATAACACAACACTCGTAGATAACACAACACTCGTACAACACTCGTACATAACACTCGTACATAACACATAACACTCGTACATAACACATAACACTCGTACATAACACATAACACTCGTACATAACACAACACTCGTAGATAACACAACACTCGTACATAACACTCGTACATAACACTCGTACATAACACATAACACTCGTACATAACACATAACACTCGTACATAACACATAACACTCGTACATAACACTCGTACATAACACATAACACTCGTACATAACACTCGTACATAACACTCGTACAACACTCGTACATAACACTCGTACATAACACATAACACTCGTACATAACACTCGTACAACACTCGTACATAACACTCGTACATAACACTCGTACATGACACAACACTCGTACAACACTCGTACATAACACTCGTACATAACACTCGTACATAACACTCGTACAACACTCGTACATAACACTCGTACATAACACATAACACTCGTACATAACACTCGTACAACACTCGTACATAACACTCGTACATAACACTCGTACATGACACAACACTCGTACAACACTCGTACATAACACTCGTACATAACACATAACACTCGTACATAACACATAACACTCGTACATAACACTCGTACATAACACTCGTACATAACACTCGTACATAACACATAACACTCGTACATAACACTCGTACATAACACTCGTACATAACACTCGTACAACACTCGTACATAACACTCGTACATAACACTCGTACATGACACAACACTCGTACAACACTCGTACATAACACTCGTACATAACACTCGTACATAACACTCGTACAACACTCGTACATAACACTCGTACATAACACATAACACTCGTACATAACACTCGTACAACACTCGTACATAACACTCGTACATAACACTCGTACATGACACAACACTCGTACAACACTCGTACATAACACTCGTACATAACACTTGTACATAACACTTGTACATAACACTACTACTTATTCTGAATACGTAATTACTTCACGACCACTAAAAAGTATGTTCTATAATGAATGTAATCTGGACGTGATTTAATGAACATCATCCTTAGCGCTTGTTAAAGGGGGACTTTTGATCAACTTTTCGGAATTTCCTTTGGAAAACTTTACTCAGTTCCATGACAAATCTTAATCGGTTAATACTACACACAATAACACACGTAAACAGCTTCTATCTGCTCCTCTGATTATACTTATCTTATATCTTCATCTCTGTTTTCATCTGAAAGTTGCTGCCTTCAATTTTTACGTACAATCAACTTGGATGTTTAAGTCATTTCAACTTAAATTGCATTAAACTGTCTTAAATGTTTGAATCTTGTGTAACAAAGTTGTTGAAAATTCCTTAACTTATTTTGATGAGTTAAAGCAATGTAAAATCATATGTTGTTATAACTTATAGATCATATATTTGTTTACAGTGTATAGCGCCCCCTACTGTACAGTGAAAACATGGATTACGGACACCCGTCAGTGGCAGGGAAAGAGGTGTATTTGTGGCAATGAGAAAAGGATTCGAGTCGACTTCACATTAACATAAGGACTAAATGATCCACCACAGATTACATTCCCAAAGCATGTGAACCGGCCCTGTCCTGTTGATGACACTGAGCCTGAACTGTACGGCACTGTGTCCAGCAGCTTTCGAAGAGCTCAGACTGTGGGCGTAGGTTTATTCATGTGCACATGTGACTGAACCCACAGCATCCTTGATGGACCGCATGAAGATCATTAAGAAGCGGCTGTCCATGAGCTTGCAGAGCGTCCGGCGTTTGGACGAGAGTCTGTCTGAGCTTCCAGAAGACACCGGCCTGGACGAGCCTCCCCTGACCCGAGACATCGGTGAGAACACACACTCACACACTCCTGTAATCACTGATCAGTGTTCCCACAGAGGCATGGAATGACACAAACTGTGCTGAATCATACACAGAGCTGTTTACTCAGATCAGCAGAAGTGGCAGAATATCACCAGGCGATCGCCCTCTAGTGTCGGCCTTGGCCTGCTTCCCATTAATCACAGAATTAGAACGACAAGCGAAATAAAACATGTTTATTAAACATGGACATCATAGGGCGCCCCCTCAGCCACACGTTTAATTAGAGTTGCGTTACGTTAGGCAGCAGAAGACCCCACCGGGTACCACTCATCTCCACTACAAATAGGAAAAAGAGGCTACAATTTTCAAGAGCTCACCAAAATTGAACAGTTGAAGACTGGAGAAATGTTGCCTGGTCTGATGAGTCTCGATTTCTGTAGAGACATTCAGATGTTAGAGTCAGAATTTGCCGTAAACAGAATGAGAACATGGATCCATCATGCCTTGTTACCACTGTGCAGGCTGGTGGTGGTGGTGTAAAGGTGTGAGGGATGTTTTCTTGGCACACTTTAGGCCCCTTAGTGCCAATTGGGCATCGTTTAAATTAGGGGTGGGAATCTTTTACCATCTCACGATTCAATTCGATTCCGATTCTTGAGGCCACGATTCGATTCAAAATCGATTTTCGATTCAAAAAGATTTTCGATTTAAAACGATTCGATTTTATCCATAATGATTTCTAATCGGGTTTCTGATCATGATCTACTCTCATCTGCTTTGCTATACAGAATGACAAACGGAGACCAGTGTTTCCTCTAGGATTTTTTCCAGCTGTGGTGGCAGGCCCATTTCGCCAGGGGGAGGGGGCGTGGCCCATGAGTGATTGCCATTTGCCACGCCCCCTTACCCCAGGTGTTTAAACCTCCCCTAAGTATTATAACATTATAACATGAAAGGCTCGAATAAGAGCGGCAAAGCGATTATGCGCATCCCGTGCGCAGAATGATGCACTTGAAGCAACGCAAAGTCACAGCGCGCATCGCTCCGGATTGAAAAGTTCAAAGCACAAAGCGAAGAGATTATATCTGTCTATCTATGCTTAATGTATTATATATTTGCAACATTTTATTGAGCATTTTCTGTTAACAGTTTTAAATTTCAGTTACAGTGCGGATGAAGAACAATTCATAGCGCTCTCCAGTGCTGTAATCTAACAGACACCCGGGAGAAAGGATTATGATTTAGAAAACGCTATAACGCGACGCGCTGTGTGAATGCTGAATGGAGAATGACTGAGGAGAGATGAGTTTCCATTAACTTTAACTAACGACTTAAATATTCATTTTTACCTCACATTATGCTATTATGACTTTAGAAGTCTTGGAATATAGTGCGAACACTTTATGGTGCTTTACAATGTTTTTTATGCCTTTAGCAATAACACAATGCACATTAATATCGGACCTCACTGAGAAGCTGCAGCCGTGGCGGGATTATTTTAGGTGTGGTGGCCCGCCACGGCAGAATGAATGTAGAAGCATCATATTTAGAAGCATCAGAAGCTCTATAAAAGCATCCATATTTGCTTCCTCTGATTTGCCGCTCACGTTCAAAAACCGGCTGCGTGCATGACGTCCGGACGTCCCATATAGGCTATAGTTACAAAAGTGGAGGCGAACAGCCACCTGATTTTATTTATTTATTAAATCGATTCTTGGACATTTCAGATCGATTCTGAATCGTTGCAAATGAGAATCTAGATTCTTCTGTGAATCGATTTTTTGGCACACCCCTAGTTTAAATGCCACGGCCTACCTGAGCATTGTTTCTGACCATGTCCATCCCTTTATGGCCACCACGTACCCATCCTCTGATGGCTACTTCCAGCAGGATAATGCACCATGTCACAAAGCTCGAATCATTTCAAATTGGTTTCTTGAACATGACAATGAGTTCACTGTACTAAAATGGCCCCCACAGTCACCAGATCTCAACCCAATAGAGCATCTTTGGGATGTGGTGGAACGGGAGCTTAATGCCCTGGATGTGCATCCCACAAATCTCCATCGACTGCAAGATGCTATCCTATCAATATGGGCCAACATTTCTAAAGAATGCTTTCAGCACCTTGTTGAATCCATGCCACGTAGAATTAAGGCAGTTCTGAAGGCAGTATTAGTATGGTGTTCCTAATAATCCTTTAGGTGAGTGTATATGTGGGTTTTTATGGTTTAGTTTTTTTAATTGGCCATGGCCAGATGCACTCAGGCAATATTTGCAGAGGTCTCAAGTAAAATATAATTTGATCGTACCATCAACGAATGTGCCATTAGGAAGTCCAGACGAGTCAAATTTTAATGCTGCTAAATTTTGAATGTGAATAGAAATGCCAGAAACAACTGTTCATCTTTTATGATTTGAGATAGTGATAGAACTACTGCAATCTCTCATTGTGTAGTGGTACGTACAGTATCCATAATAGCACCTTTGGTGGCGCAAAACTCAAACTCGCCTAGAGCAACCAAAGGGCTAGAGCCGGCCCTGAATATAACAATACAAAACTAGAAGTAAAAAAGGAAATATCTAACACACTCAGGTAAAGTTCCTCTGGAGCTCCTGATCATCTCGCTGAACTGGGGCTGATCTGAGGAACCACACACGTAAGCTTTGACCCGAAAGCGCCGCTGTGCTTCAGGCGACCTGAGTTCGAGTCCGGCTCGCTTTCACTCTATACCATCATATCACAATAATAGATCAAAATCGCCATAGCTAAATCTACAAACACTAGAGTGGCTTTTACAGCATGGGTTGAAGCATGGGTTCCCCTTTTTGAGAATGGGGGTTAAAATGCACTATTCAAACTTAAATGGTTGTAATTCAAGAGTGCTTTGGCATATAGACCTAAGTTTGGTCTTGTTTTAAAGGAAACACTCAGCAGATTATTGCTGAAGTGAAAACACTTCAAAAAATGAAAGTATGAAAAAGTTATGGAAGTTTAAATTTACAGTAAATCAAATGTACTGTACTATATATTTTTTATTTTATATAAAATATATATTTTACAAAATATTTTTTACTATAAAATTACTATAAAATCAAACCCATATATCTAACCAAGTTGTGTTCCAAATTTGAAGTTGATATCACAAACATTGAAGTTCCCATGAGATTTTGTTTAGACGTAGTACCAAAAATACCCACCGGGTGACATACATTCCATTGAATTTAGTTGTATACATTCTGCCTTAACAAATTAATAAATTTCTCTCCAAATATCAATTCTGTCACATATTTTGGAACCTTGAGACTTAGACCTTTCTGATAATATGTGTTTTGTCAAGATTAGAAAAGGTTTTGATCATAAATTGTGAAATATAATAATATTTTAATAGTGTGTGTGTGTGTGTGTGTGTGGGTGTATGTGTGTGTGTGTGTGTGTGTGCGTGTGCGTGTGTGTGTGTGTGTGTTGACAGGTGTAGTCCAGGGGAAAATGTGGTCGGATGGAGAAAGTGATCAAGCTTCAGGAACCTCCTCTGATGAAGTCCAGAGTCCTGTAAGAGTGCGGATGCGCAGTCTTCAACAGCGCCTCTCTAATGAGGTAATGTGCAATCATACATGCGTAACACACATTCAAACAGGTAGATGCACACACATACACTGAGCCAAAACTATATATTAAATTAGGGAAGTGCTGTGTCTCAAGATGCCGTTCTGTTATATCCCCGAAGGATCTCAGAGTCCAAACTTGCGGTTCATTAGTGCCAAAGGGGGAACATGGGCAGTTTAGCACTGTTATGTAGCAGAGATGCTCACAAGTCTCTGAGCTAGAGTCCAAGTCAAGTCTCAAGTCTCTGAGCTAGAGTCCAAGTCAAGTCTCAAGTCTTTGAGCTAGAGTCCAAGTCAAGTCTCAAGTCTTTGAGCTAGAGTCCAAGTCAAGTCTTTGAGCTAGAGTCCGAGTTAAGTCTCAAGTCTTTGAGCTAGAGTCCAAGTTAAGTCTCAAGTCTTTGAGCTAGAGTCCAAGTCAAGTCTCAAGTCTTTGAGCTAGAGTCCAAGTCAAGTCTCAAGTCTTTGAGCTAGAGTCCAAGTCAAGTCTTTGAGCTAGAGTCCAAGTTAAGTCTCAAGTCTTTGAGCTAGAGTCCAAGTTAAGTCTCAAGTCTTTGAGCTAGAGTCCAAGTCAAGTCTCAAGTCTCTGAGCTAGAGTCCAAGTCAAGTCTCAAGTCTCTGAGCTAGAGTCCAAGTCAAGTCTCAAGTCTCTGAGCTAGAGTCCAAGTCAAGTCTCAAGTCTCTGAGCTAGAGTCCAAGTCAAGTCTCAAGTCTTTGAGCTAGAGTCCAAGTCAAGTCTCAAGTCTCTGAGCTAGAGTCCAAGTCAAGTCTCAAGTCTCTGAGCTAGAGTCCAAGTCAAGTCTCAAGTATTTGAGCTAGAGTCCAAGTCAAGTCTCAAGTCTTTGAGCTAGAGTCCAAGTCAAGTCTCAAGTCTCTGAGCTAGAGTCCAAGTCAAGTCTCAAGTCTCTGAGCTAGAGTCCAAGTCAAGTCTCAAGTCTTTGAGCTAGAGTCCAAGTCAAGTCTCAAGTCTTTGAGCTAGAGTCCAAGTCAAGTCTTTGAGCTAGAGTCCGAGTTAAGTCTCAAGTCTTTGAGCTAGAGTCCAAGTTAAGTCTCAAGTCTTTGAGCTAGAGTCCAAGTCAAGTCTCAGGTCTTTGAGCTAGAGTCCAAGTCAAGTCTCAAGTCTTTGAGCTAGAGTCCAAGTTAAGTCTCAAGTCTTTGAGCTAGAGTCCAAGTTAAGTCTCAAGTCTTTGAGCTAGAGTCCAAGTCAAGTCTCAAGTCTCTGAGCTAGAGTCCAAGTCAAGTCTCTGAGCTAGAGTCCAAGTCAAGTCTCAAGTCTCTGAGCTAGAGTCCAAGTCAAGTCTCAAGTCTTTGAGCTAGAGTCCAAGTCAAGTCTCAAGTCTTTGAGCTAGAGTCCAAGTCAAGTCTCAAGTCTTTGAGCTAGAGTCCAAGTCAAGTCTGAAGTCTCTGAGCTAGAGTCCAAGTCAAGTCTCAAGTCTCTGAGCTAGAGTCCAAGTCAAGTCTCAAGACTTTGAGCTAGAGTCCAAGTCAAGTCTCAAGTCTTTGAGCTAGAGTCCAAGTCAAGTCTCAAGTCTCTGAGCTAGAGTCCAAGTCAAGTCTCAAGTCTCTGAGCTAGAGTCCAAGTCAAGTCTCAAGTCTTTGAGCTAGAGTCCAAGTCAAGTCTGAAGTCTCTGAGCTAGAGTCCAAGTCAAGTCTCAAGTCTCTGAGCTAGAGTCCAAGTCAAGTCTCAAGTCTTTGAGCTAGAGTCCAAGTCAAGTCTCAAGTCTTTGAGCTAGAGTCCAAGTCAAGTCTCAAACGAAAAAATGTGCGCAATCTCTCTCAGCCGCGTGTGGCTCGTGATTTCCCCGCCGCCATCACTTGCATGTAATGTGCACTGCCTATGCATCTAATCATAGCTTATAAACTACTGTAAGTCAACACATCCCAGACTCTCAAACCAGTGTAACGTTATAACTAAATGAAACTGTAACGTTACATGATCAACAATAATCCTGTAACCTGTTTGTAGACAACGTGCAGCCAGCGGCACGTAAATGATTAACGTTACGTTAATCGACCACCACAAGTTTGGCAATTAAACAAACACTCATTTATATTTCATAAGGAAGACAGTCGGAGTTAACCTCCCGTAACGTTAGGTAGCTAAAGCAATAAGCAAGCTAACGGTAGATGGTCAATGCTGAGCTAAACATGTTTACTCACCTATTAGGGTGCGTTTTCAGATGCCTGATAAAATTAGATGTAGTTGAGCCAGAATCTTTTATCGTGATACTGCATATTTTGCATTGAGCGCTTCTTTTGAGTGCGTCTTGTTTGAAGTTTTTAAACCCAAAGCTAACGATGAATGGCACAGCAGCGGCCGGTGCAGTCGACATTTTTGTTTGTTATCCTCTCATGTGTGGTTGCGCGCGCTGCCAGCAATAGGCCACGTAGTACGTGGTTACGTAGGCAGGTTATAGGTAACGGAGGGAGGGGGATAACAGCGAGCTCATCAGACGTTTCCTAAAAATAAACATTGTTCACGAGTCCCGCAGCTCGAGTCCGAGTCGAGTCTGAAGTCTTTCGAGGACGAGTCTCAAGTCGAGTCTGAAGTCACTGTGTGTGCGACTTAAGTCGCACTCGAGTCCGAGTCTCAAACTCGAGTCCCCATCTCTGTTATGTAGTCACCAGGTGACATTTATAACCCTATCCAGATATCTCCATCTGCCCCATACAACTGCTCTTTGACACATTATATGATATTTCCCCTTCAGGAAGTCAATAAACGTCTTTCACTGCCAGCGGATATTCGTTTGCCGGAGGGTTACCTGAAGAAGTTCGCCTCGAACAGCCCGCCATTTGACAAACCTCTCAGTCGCAGGTTTCGCAGAACGTCACTCGTAAGTCTTTCTTTGTCATGATCTATTAGTATAACATCATCAATGTGTAGAATGCATTTCTATTCTGTGTCTGTGTCTATTCTTTTAGACAGGGCTTAGATTACACCAGGGTTAGGCCGAAGTTCAATTAGGACATTTAAGGAGCTCTTATAAACTTAGAAAAACACATTACTGGTGTAAAACAATGGCACTGATATATATTGTAAGATATCCTTTCAGTTAAAACAGATCAAACATGCATTATAGTCTGGGACTAGATCAAGCCTCGTCTGTGAAACCGGGGGTTTATCTCAAATCTCTGTGTGGATGGTTCAATACACCTTTGATTATTGTTTACATTAGGTCATAGACACAAATATGATCTTTGATACGCCAGCTAATCACTGAGACTTGTTTTCCTTTCAGTCAGAAATCGGCTTTGGCAAATTAGAGTCATATGTCAAACTGGACAAACTGGGAGAGGTGAGATCCTGACCAGCACCAGTCTTCTCCACAGCTGACCATACGGTTTCTGTTCAACTAAACTAAATTCATTTGATTGAGTGTTTGACCTTGCATTAGAACTGTCGTCAATAGAGTTGAGTGGGTTATCCTTATCTTTCTTTAGGCCAATTGTCAGTTGATATTGTTCTTTTCAACTAGTTTTACAATTTGCTATTTTTATATAAATACAAAGGCCATTGCACACCAATAATGCTGCTGAACAGCTGCTTTTGTGTGTGTGTGTGTGTGTGTGTGTGTGTGTGTGTGTGTGTGTGTGTGTGTGTAGGGCACATATGCCACTGTGTTTAAGGGTCGCAGTAAGTTAACGGATAACCTAGTGGCTCTGAAGGAGATCCGGCTGGAGTATGAGGAAGGCGCTCCCTGCACCGCCATACGAGAAGGTACAGCACCCACTGCCATTCAGGAGTCTGGGAACATTATATCAGCCACCATATCATTATCGGCCGATAGATGTTCATTTTTAATGTTATCGTTATCAGCTCGATAAGAAAAATTGGCCGATATATTAAAGCCGATAAATAATGTATTATTTCCTTCAGCTGAGACGCTTCAGATGTGACTGTTCAACATGATGGTTCTGAATTTTTTTTAATATGATTGGAATCACTTCAAAAATCAAAAAAGGAAAATACAGTTCAGTGCAACATGTGCAGCGCAAGTCATATCGGCTACATAAACTAATAATGAGAACATTATAATTGTGTGTTTGGGACACGGCTTTAATGGTGAGACTTTTGTTTTTGTAATCAGGCTCTCAAAAATTATATAAAAATTTGGATTTAGATTTATCGGCCAATATATCGGTTATCGGCTTTTGAATATATAGAATTATCAGTTATCGGTATCGGCCAAAAGTTTAATATCGGTGCATGCCTAACATTCAGTTATTCAGCTATGATGATTAAAGTGATCTGGTGAAGCTGGTGTCGAGACTGTGGTTCAGTGAAGATGAAGTGTGTTTCTCTAACTCACCGCTACTAACGTCTTTACACACAATATTATATGGAATAGTCTCAAACAATAACAAACTGATTTGTTTCTAGGAAAATGTGTTTGGCCATTGTTAAAACCAATATTTGACTAGGAAGTGAACAGAAACGTGCAATACATTCACTCTATGAGTTCTGTGCCCTGTGCATGATGTATGTTGCTGTTGTTTGTGATTATACAACACAGTTCTCTTAGTAACACTGCAGTAACAGTGCTGGACTGTATGAGTGTATGCACTTCTGTGAGGTTAACTCATGCTGATATGATGATGTTCCTCTCTCTGCCAGTGTCTCTCCTGAAGAACTTGAAACATGCCAACATCGTCACGCTCCACGACATCATCCACACAGAGAAGTGCCTTACACTCGTCTTCGAGTACTTGGTGTGTGAGATGTTATTTATCCTCGCATTTATACTCTGTCCATCTACTGTGCTTCTGATACACTTGTGCTGTGTGTTTCAGGAGAAGGACCTCAAGCAGTACCTGGAGGACTGTGGGAGCATCATGAGCGTTTATAATGTAAAGGTTAGACATATCCTCTAACAGCTGTAATCTTAGTTTCACTCACAAATAATACTATGCATCAGGGAAAATGACTGAAAACAACTTCATGTCATAGCACACACCACTTCATGTGGCCTGAATAGATTAAGACAGAGATTTATTGTGACAGTCATCTGAAATGTCAGTCTCTTTAAGTGAACTATCCCTATCACTTCCTTCCTGACCATATGAAATGCTGCTTTAAAATGTAAGGAACTAAAGTTTGCCCGAGCCCCGGGCCGAACCCTGACCGGCAGGGCACAGAGGAGGCCAGATCAGGAAGATGTAGGGCTGAGAGAGATCGAGTGATCACCATGTAGAGAAAGGATGAACAAAAGCAAAGCCAGAGCGAGAGAATATAGTAAGAAAGGAAGAAAAAGAGAGCTTTAGCACAGTGCTGACTGGGAGGAACATTAGCCTGTGCGTAGCCACATTTATTGCTATGAAAACATTTTGGAAACATGGTTTACAACAGTACAGGTACAGACACTGGAATGACTTCATTGTATTGATGTTCCCCTGCAGATCTTCCTGTTCCAGCTCCTGCGAGGTCTGGCTTACTGTCATCGGCAGAAAGTGTTGCACAGAGACCTCAAACCGCAGAACCTCCTCATCAGCGACAGGGGCGAGCTCAAGCTGGCCGACTTCGGTACGATCCACCACTCTCAGACCCAAACATGCTCATGGACAGAGACACCAACTGATGTGTAGTGTGAAATGATGAAGACTCGTCACGTTTACAGATTTACATCACGTCTGTGTGTGTGTCTGTGAAGGTCTCGCTCGTGAGAAGTCCGTTCCCTCAAAGACTTTCTCTAATGAAGTAGTCACTCTCTGGTACAGACCTCCGGATGTGCTGATGGGGTCCACTGAGTACTTCACCTCCATCGACATCTGGTGAGGTCACACACACACACACACACACACACACACTCTCTGCTGTGAACATGTAAGATATGCTGCTGATGCTGCATGAATAGACATACATAAAGTTGTAATCGAAATTATTCACCCCCCCACCCCCCCCCCCCCCCATTGCAAATTAGGTTTATTGGCAAAATGCACAGACTTCCAGCTGTTTGCAATGAACAAATCAACCAAAAGTAGTTGAAATAGTTTAACACAATAAATGTTGCGAGTGGTTTCCCCTAATTCACCGGAAAATGCAACTTTTAATCTGAGCCCGTTCCTCATGAGCAATGGCCGCCTCCAGTTCAGCAATATTCTTGCAATATTCTGAAACCAACTTCTTCAAATCCCACCAGAGAGATTTTCTATGGGGCTCGAGTCATGTGACTGTGCTGCCCCTGTATCTCCCAGCACTTCTCCTGACACCGAGCCTGGGAGGGACGCTGGGGATCGTTGTCCTGTTGAAGGTCCAAGCTCCAGCCTCCTCACTGACGGCATGACGGTTTCTCCTAGGATCTCCTGATCCTTCAGTGATCATCTCTCCTTCCACACGCTGCAGGTTTGCAGAGCCGGGGGGATATAGATCAGCCGCAGAGCATCTCTCCTTCCACACGCTGCAGGTTTGCAGAGCCGGGGGATATAGATCAGCCGCAGAGCATCACGAGCTCCACATGCTGAACTCTCATCAGCATACGCTTCATTCCTCTTCCTCAGACACACCGCTGATCCAGGGGGACGAGAAGCTCCAGTTGTTCTGTTCCATCGCTCCACAGAACAGAATCCCAAACCTTTGTGGCTTATTTATATGATTTTGTGCGTTTGGGTCAGTAATGGTGTAGTCCTGGAGTTCTGATGCGTTTAGTTCGAGCTTTACTGTGCAGCTAAACATCAGTGCCTGTGGCCAGCAGTCAAGTCAAGTCAAGTCAAATATATTTATATAGCGCTTTTCACAATACAGATTGTATCAAAGCTGCTTCACAGTATCAATCAAAACAACTTAACAGTGTTTGTTTATTACTGGAAAAGACATCCAAGTTTGGTAGAGCTGATCAGTGATGGGTCATTTAATTTGAATATCCCCAACTGAGCAAGCCAAAGGCAACAGTGGCAAGGAACCAAAAAACTCCATCAAGTGACCCGATGGTGTCCTAAAACTCCATCAGATGACCCAATGGAGAAAAAAAACCTTGGGAGAACCCAGGCTCAGTCGGGGCCAGTTCTCCTCTGGCGTTTATGAAGTAGAGGCCGAATTTACAGTAACTGTAAGATTAAAAATTTATATGAATGCCTGGCTAAATAGATGCGTCTTTAGTCTAGTTTTAAACTGGGAGAACGAGTCTGAGCAACGAACAATATCAGGAATGCTATTCCAGAGTTTCGGAGCTAAATGTGAAAATGCTCTCCCTCCTTTGGTGGATCTGGATATCCTAGGAATGACCAAAAGCCTCGAATTTAGTGATCTTAAAGAGCGCGATGGATTATAGGGCAATAGAAGATCCGTTAAATAGACTGGAGCTAAACCATTTAGAGCTTTATAGGTCAAAAGCAAGACCTTGTAATTAATACGGATAATATTTTCTTGACCTAGTAAGAACTCTAGCGGCTGCATTTTGGACTAACTGTAGCTTGTTTATTGAAGATGCAGGACAACCAGCTAATAAAGCATTACAGTAATCTAGTCTCGAGGTCATGAATGCATGGACTAACTTTTCTGCATCAGAGACTGATAGCATATTACGTAGCTTAGCAATGTTTCTAAGGTGGAAAAAGGCTGTTTTTGTAACATATGAAATATGCTTTTCAAAAGACAGGTTGCAGTCTAATGTAACACCCAGGTCTTTTACTGTAGCGGATAAAGTAACAGGGCATCCTAATATGTTAAAGTCGTGCTGTGAAAGGTTTTGTGGACGGTTTTTAGAACCGATAAGTATTACCTCTGTCTTGTCTGGATTTAATAAAAGAAAATTACGCATCATCCAATCTTTTATATCTTTAACACAATCTGTCAATTTGGATAATTTAGCGTATTCATCTGGCCGTGATGAAATATATATTTGAGTGTCATCGGCATAACAATGGAAACTAATTCCATGTTTCCTTAGAATATTACCAAGTACCAGCTCTTCTGCAGGTCTTCTGCACTCCAGGGTTTTCTGATCCTGCCTTGAACCAAATCTGGTTTCAGCCGTTGATATCTGCCTTTTTCTGCCCGTCCAGGGAGTGAAATCACTGTTCCTTTAACTTTGAACTTGTGAACTATGCTTCCAACGGTGTTTCGAGGAACTTTTAGTGTCTTCGCCATCTTTCTGTGTCCTGTTCCTTGTTTGTGAAGGGCGATGGTGTCTTCTCTTCACTTTTTGGACCATTCTTTTGAGCCATATTTCTAAAATGCAGTCAAACGTGACCCTCAACAAACTTGGCCAGTTCAGATATTTCATGTGTTCTAGCTCAAGCTCTAAAAGTTGCATTTTTAGCTGAAAATCTTTTCAAGTTGTTCTTGAAACATTTGTTGTGTTGAGCTATTTCAATTACTCTCGTTTGATTTGTTCATTCCAAACAGCTGAAAGTCTGTATATTTTGCTAATAAACCTGATTTGCTATGGGGGTTGAATAATTTCGATTAGAACTGTACATCCCGAAGCGGATCTAGGCAGGTGGAGCTGGGGAGGTGGAGGGGTTTAGAGGAACTCTAAAGCAAACACTGAACCACACTATTTAAATATTCAGCAAGCGATCTCATTGGCTGCAGGATCGGCAGAGACAATCAGCTTGCACCATGCGGTAATGATGTAATTGCATGTAAAGAACCTATCTAGAGTTTCATGTCTGAAATAGATGTTTCTAATAAACTGAATATAATATCTATGTCAGGGATATGCTTCTGTTTTGTTTAGTGTCAGTGTTGTGGTTCAGTCCTTCAGTGCTTTGCTCAGTTTCTGTTTGCCTATGTTCGATGTCATTTGTTCTCTAGTTAATCTCCTTGGTAGTTAATTAGTTCATTACACTTGTCCTGTTTCCACGTTATACTTTATTCAGGTTCAGGTGTGTTTGATTGGAGTTGGAGCTGAACTCTGCGTGACGGTTACTTGGTTGTCAATACGCTGACCTAAAAGAAAACCCTAAATTGTGTGCATGAGTGTTTCATGGGTATCGTTTAAATTCAGCCAACTAGAGGAGCTTTGGTCAGTGGTGTCAGGCTGGATGTTACTCTGAAGACTGTTACTCTGTTACTGTTACTCTGAGACCGAGGGTCTCCTTGCTACAGCGTGTTTTGCTGGCTTTAGTTCACCAGCACACAGCATATCGAGACTTTTCCTTTCATGCATTTCTCAAAAAGACGTTTTATTCTTTGTGTGTGTCTGCTTTGTTTCATTAACATAGGGGTGTAGGTTGTATATTCTATGAAATGATCACCGGACGCCCCCTCTTCCCTGGGTCGACAGTGGAGGATGAACTTCATCTTATATTTCGTATCTTGGGTAAGAGGTGTGGTGTTATGCATGTTAAAGGTGCACTCAGTGCGTTTTTAGTTTTTTGCTTATATAGCTCCCATTTCTCAAGACAACACCAGGCTGGGGTTTTTCAATAGAGATTTTGTTCTTTCTTGCCATTTTGGAAACTACAAACACTAGACAAGATGTGTAAATGCCTTATTTACTAACCTGTAACCTGCATCAATGCTCAACCATCACAACCCCATGCATGAATTCAAGTAAGTGTAGTTGGAGTGTGTTTTGATTATAATCTCATGTCATCTCCAGGTTCTCCTACTGAGGACTCTTGGCCAGGAGTCAATACCAATGAAAACTTCCTTTCCTTCAACTTCCCCCATTATGACGGGGAACCTCTGATCACTCATGCACCCAGGTGTGTGAAAGCCTGTCTGTGTGGCTGCTTCCTGATATTATATATTTGTGGATCTATATATGAGGTGTATATTGGGAAAGGTTTCTAGTAGCCACACCTGAACAGGGTCTCTAATTGGTAATGTTTGACAAGAGAGACAAACTAGTTCAAATTCAACAGCAGAGGAAAAGGCCGAGGACAAGAACAGGAGCAAGGACACCAGATTACGCCAGAGCCCACAACATAATACCACTAAAATGTCTTTAACATTGGGACTGGAAGCTATAGCTATAATATGATTTGTGTAATTTGTTCTACAGGATCACCAATGACGGTCATGATCTGCTATGCCAGTTTTTACAGGTAAAGTACGAATTCGCTTTTGCCCTGGCAAAGAAAGCCTCAGAGGATAAAAGGTTTTTGATCGATGTCTACTTTAATAATGTATATTTTGCTTTACCAGATTAGTATGTTCATTATTATGAAAGACACTTTTGGACTTTTATTGATACACCTGTCCTTATTTAATTCTTAAAGGTACACTATGTAACTTTTGGCCCTCTAGCGGTTAAACAAAACAACATGCATTTTGTAGAAGAACATTGTTTTGGTGGTGCTTTGGCTCTGCAAAAGAAACATGTTCACTCCAGATGAATGTGTTTTTGTAGTTTGAAGCAAGGCGGCGTATTTCTGCAGAAGTGGCTCTTCGGCACGTTTATTTCAGAGAATTGGGAGACAAAGTACAGGACCTGGATGACAGTAAGAATTTCATACTAGTAATATTAAAGTAGTATAAGCTTATTTTTAAGTTCATATTTAGTAGTTTCACAAATGTATGTTAGTAAGATGTGATGCTACACGTATACATCTCATTCATCAAATCATTTGGGAACATCATAAGTCAAGATGGCAGTTTCTGCTTGTAAGAAACAATCTTGAGCACAACTATTTCTACACATTTATGTCATACATTCACTGTTGAAATGTTATAATTGCTATAAACAGTTTTTAAATTCTGTCCCCCACAGCTACCTCCATCTTCTCCGTGAAGGAGATTCGACTGCAGAGGGACCCAGGAAAACACTTTCCAGCGCAAAGAGAGTTGGGTGAGTTCAAGTATTCACCTAAATCTAGAGTTCCTTGTACATGGTGAAAAAAAAAAACACATACAAAATGAGATCAAATAGTGTGTAAATCACTCGATGTTGTGAAATAACACACCATCAGTGATCTGAGGATTTGTTGACTAATGTTTCGTGAGGAAGGTGATTATAAACAATAGGCAGGCAACAGCAACAAATGACAGTACTCTCCTCACCGGTTACCTGGTCCAGGACGGCACGTTCCTGCAGAGTGTAGCTTTACGAACAAGTAACCAGCGTCAGTGACTACAGGAGGCACAGTCCAGTTGGGAAGTTTTAGACTTTAAAATATCATACCAGGTTTTCTGTCTTCACAAATAAACTTAGAAGTCATCCTCTGCAGTTCAATAAAATAATGAGGGTCTGGGATTGACATCATAGAAAATTAAAGGTTATGTAAGATTTTTATGTTAAAATACATTCTCTTAACCTAGTTTATTGTTCATTGAGTACTATTATGCCATTCATGAGTCCCAAGTGTAAACATTGTAGTCTAGCGGGAGTAATAGGCTCCTTTCTACCCTCTTGGCAGTTTTTTGTAACCTGTTTTTTGGGACCCTAATGGTGTCTAGTTAAGAATTTCTGATGTTGCCGAGGTCAACTAATGACCCATGGGCTTCGTTTTTCATAACTCCTTTTCATAACACTTTTCATATAATTCTGACACAAGGAATCAAATGGAAAGGTCATTGACATGCAATCCAATAGCAAAAGTTACATCATTATGAGCCTAAAATGTGTTATTTGCCTGTTTTTCACCAATAAAGTGGTAAAAAACAGGCAAATAACACATTTTAGGCTCATAATGATGTAAATATTGCTACTTTTTCGATAAGACCATGCATCTCCGGCAACATCCTAAAGTTCTGGGCCCATGTAGATATAGCAAAACATTTGTATCATGTAGTTTAATATGCACATTTTTATTTTGCACTTGATTTGTTTGAAGGCAGTGGTCTGAGACATCATTGCTCCTTGGCATATTTGCTGTCAGTCAGACCACTACACTGAAGACCTTGATTAGCTGCTACAGGTGTGTTTAATGAGAGCTAGAGCTAAACTCTGCAGGAAGGTTGGAGACTCCTGAGACTTAATGATGTCTAAACTATGTTCATATAAACTACAGTATAACATGACAAAAGCACAATCTACACTGAACAAAATTATAAACGCAACACTTTTGTTTTTGCCCCCATTTTCCATGAGCTGAACTCAAAGATCTAAGACTGTTTCTATGTACACAAAAGGCCTAATTCAGCATGCCAATTGCACGCTCCCTCAAAACTTGCGACATCTGTGGCATCTGTATGATAAAACTGCACATTTTAGAGTGGCCTTTTATTGTGGACAGCCTAAGGCACACCTGTGCAATAATCCTACTGTCTAATCCGCATCTTGAAATGCCACACCTGTGAGGTGGATGGATGATCTCAGCAAAGGAGAAGTGCTCACTAACACAGATTTAGACAGATTTGTGAACAATATTTGAGAGAAATAGGCCTTTTGTGTACATAGAAACAGTCTTAGATCTTTGAGTTCAGCTCATGAAAAATGGGGGCAAAAACAAAAGTGTTGCATTTATAATTTTGCTCACTGGATCACATAGCAATTTGTTAGAGTTTGCACATCTGCTGTCTTTTTTTTTTGTTTGTTTTAATATGTCTTTGTGTATTTCAGCGGTGGTCCACCGAATGGGCTCTGCCCCACCAGAACATTTCCTCTCTGAGGGAGTGAATCGTCTTCTTCATCCAGCCCCGCTCTCCTCATAGACCGGCTCATGCAGAGTTCTCTTCCTTTGCATCTGCTGTGCAACATTTTGTTTGTCTTTCTTTGTTTACAAAGTTCTCTTATCTTTTAACATCTTTTTTATTGTTTTTATTTGCACATGTTTTGTCTCTGTGTGTAAATATCTGTTTGAAAGACAATGAAGTAAGAAAAAATCATTGTTATATGCATCAAGTCCCAAAGATGTGTAATGCCCCAAAAAGTGTTTGTTAGTCACTTTTCTTCTGCCATGGGAATCTATTGCAGCCCAAATAACCACAGGGTCAAAGGTTGTGAAATGGCATAGAGGCCATGGCATGGTCTCTAATCGTCAACACATTTAGGATTTGCCCCTGAACGTCTCTAGTTTTGCCGTCTTTCCCATCTTCCAATTAAGCCAAGCCAAATTCAGTGCACTTTCACTGTTAGCCATATTGCAACGTTCTCAGAGAACTTGAAGTTTAGCCAAATTGTAGCTGGTTTTTCTTCTCTGAAAAAACGTGTCCAATCTTGACCATTTTTCATCCAATCTTGAGTCCCACATCATGTCTTCAGACTATCTTTGAGCTCAAGCACTTTCAATTACTACTGTATATGAAGTGTATTACAAAAATAAACTTGCCTTGCCGGTGTAAAACTAAACAAATGGATTTTTATAATGCAACAATTCAGCAATATTGAGTCCTTCTCAATCGCAGGCTGTGTTCTGTGAGTGCCGTCGAAGGCCGTCTTCATTGGAAGGATCTTTGGGAGGCAGCCTATGTTCTGCGTCCCTCATTCAGTGTGTTTTGGAGGACACATTATGTGTGCTCTAAGAGAATTGTCAGACAATAAAGTCCCCCAGATGTAGGTCTTCACACACAAGGTTACTGTAGGGAGAGGACCAACAATACCAGTATTTCCAGAAGCTTCCAGAAACCCTGTGGATCTAAACGTTTTAAAATAAGTTGTTTGGCATCATTACCATTTTTTTTTTTTCACTTTATCTCTTTCTTCAACTCAGGGGAAGTCTCATCTAAGTGTTTTGCTTTAACTCATATTGGGGTGTATGTGATGATGATGTCACAGGCACATGTGCAAAGAGCATGCAATCAACATACAACAGAAACTCAGATTAAAGATTCACCATATGGGCGTATTTGAAGCATGGAGTTCATTTATACATGTAAATATGCACAATCACGTGTGCGCATATGCATACTGTGGTATAAAAAAATGTGTAATTCATTTTTTCTTTGGAACATAAGGTGTTCGTAGGGCTGTGGACAACAGCGTGGTAGGGTGGTTACAGCTCTGGTGACCCGAGGGTGTCTGGTCTAGCGTCCGGTGACCCGCGGGTGTCTTGACTAGCGTCCGGTGACCCGAGGGTGTCTTGACTAGCGTCCGGTGACCCGCGGGTGTCTTGACTACCGTCCGGTGAATCCGAGGGTGTCTGGACTAGCGTCCGGTGACCCGAGGGTGTCTGGACTAGCGGCCGGTGACCCGAGGGTGTCTGGACTAGCGTCCGGTGACCCGAGGGTGTCTGGACTAGCGTCCGGTGACCCGAGGGTGTCTGGACTAGCGTCCGGTGACCCGAGGGTGTCTGGACTAGCGGCCGGTGACCCGAGGGTGTCTGGACTAGCGTCCGGTGACCCGAGGGTGTCTGGACTAGCGTCCGGTGACCCGAGGGTGTCTGGACTAGCGTCCGGTGACCCGAGGGTGTCTGGACTAGCGTCCGGTGACCCGAGGGTGTCTGGTCTAGCGTCCGGTGACCCGAGGGTGTCTGGAATAGCGTCCGGTGACCCGAGGGTGTCTGGACTAGCGAGGGTGTCTGGTCTAGCGAGGGTGTCTGGACTAGCGAGGGTGTCTGGACTGGACTAGTCCGGTGACCCGAGGGTGTCTGGTCTAGCGTCCGGTGACCCGAGGGTGTCTGGACTAGCGTCCGGTGACCCGAGGGTGTCTGGACTAGCGTCCGGTGACCCGAAGATGTCTGGACTAGCGTCCGGTGACCCGAGGGTGTCTGGTCTAGCGTCCGGTGACCCGAGGGTGTCTGGTCTAGCGTCCGGTGACCCGAGGGTGTCTGGACTAGCGTCCGGTGACCCGAGGGTGTCTGGTCTAGCGTCCGGGGTCTAGCGTCCGGTGACCCGAGGGTGTCTGGTCTAGCGTCCGGTGACCCGAGGGTGTCTGGTCTAGCGTCCGGTGACCCGAGGGTGTCTGGTCTAGCGTCCGGTGACCCGAGGGTGTCTGGACTAGCGTCCGGTGACCCGAGGGTGTCTGGTCTAGCGTCCGGGGTCTAGCGTCCGGTGACCCGAGGGTGTCTGGTCTAGCGTCCGGTGACCCGAGGGTGTCTGGTCTAGCGTCCGGTGACCCGAGGGTGTCTGGTCTAGCGTCCGGTGACCCGAGGGTGTCTGGACTAGCGTCCGGTGACCCGAGGGTGTCTGGACTAGCGTCCGGTGACCCGAGGGTGTCTGGTCTAGCGTCCGGTGACCCGAGGGTGTCTGGACTAGCGTCCGGTGACCCGAGGGTGTCTGGACTAGCGTCCAGTGACCCGAGGGTGTCTGGACTAGCGGCCGGTGACCCGAGGGTGTCTGGACTAGCGTCCGGTGACCCGAGGGTGTCTGGACTAGCGTGCGGTGACCCGAGGGTGTCTGGACTGGACTAGTCCGGTGACCCGAGGGTGTCTGGACTAGCGTCCGGTGACCCGAGGGTGTCTGGTCTAGCGTCCGGTGACCCGAGGGTGTCTGGTCTAGCGTCCGGTGACCCGAAGGTGTCTGGACTAGCGTCCGGTGACCCGAGGGTGTCTGGACTAGCGTCCGGTGACCCGAGGGTGTCAGGACTAGCGTCCGGTGACCCGAGGGTGTCTGGACTAGCGTCCGGTGACCCGAGGGTGTCTGGTCTAGCGTCCGGTGACCCGAGGGTGTCTTGACTAGCGTCCGGTGACCCGAGGGTGTCTGGTCTAGCGTCCGGTGACCCGAGGGTGTCTTGACTAGCGTCCGGTGACCCGAGGGTGTCTGGTCTAGCGTCCGGTGACCCGAGGGTGTCTTGACTAGCGTCCGGTGACCTGAGGGTGTCTGGACTAGCGTCCGGTGACCCGAGGGTGTCTGGACTAGCGTCCGGTGACCCGAGGGTGTCTGGACTGGACTAGTCCGGTGACCCGAGGGTGTCTGGACTAGCGTCCGGTGACCCGAGGGTGTGTGTCTTGACTAGCGTCCGGTGACCCGAGGGTGTCTGGACTAGCGTCCGGTGACCCGAGGGTGTCTGGTCTAGCGTCCGGTGACCCGCGGGTGTCTGGTCTAGCGTCCGCCAGGAGGGGTCCACGAGCCGTAATCACTGTTTACATGCACGGATGAATCAAATTGCAACTTACAACAGTAATGTTTTATATTTGAATATATTTATATAGGTCTTTGCACTTCCGGTTAGATGCTTCTGTATTTCATTGGCTCTACTGTACTCTGCACAATGACAATAAAGTTGGATCTAATTTCATGTAATTACACAGAGCTGTTGTGCCTTCGTCCCAGTGGAACCCAGTCGGAGCAGGAGTAAAGCTGGCTCTTCTGTGTCTGTGATAAATCAGGGTACACACTAGTTCACACACATTGGTTTAGCAAATCACAAATCATCAGCCAAAGTTATTTACTAACAATGAAGAATACAACACTAAAAAACTCAGTAGTGCTTTTTTACAGTCCTACTCCTGTTGATCTCCGAAGGATCGTGTGACTGCAGGTTTGCTTGTGTTCTTGGACTTTCAGTTGGATTTTCCTTGTTTCCTGTTTTTTATTTTTTTTTATGCTTGTTTCCTTTGTTCCTATGTTTCCCACCAGTCATTTGTCACCATAGTTACCCAGTTCACCTGCCCTTCCTCCTCATCTCTTTTAAAGGGGGGGTGAAACACTCAGTTTCAGTCAATCTCATGTTAATCTTGAGTACCTATAGAGTAATATTGCATCCATCATATCTCCAAAAAGTCTTTAGTTTTATTATATTTATAAAAGAAAGATAGGCTGTACCGAGTCTTTCCGGAAAAAGCCGAGCGGGTGGAGGCGTGCCGTGTGGGCGGAGCTAAATAATCACGAGCGCGCGAAGTTTTAGAACATTTGTGTGTCTACTCGTGGTTTATGAAGACATGATTTGGTTTTACAATAAACAGACAGACACCTACAGTAGCCACCTAAACATATGTATTTAAACGAACACACCACATACATCGCATGCTCAGATACATTAACTATACGTGATCATGTTGTTTAGCCTACTTGCTGAGCTTAAGTTACACGCCGATAGACACACACAGATATTTGAAGCAGTTCTACTCACCGCCTGCGGTTCCAACGCAAGACCGTTAACCTTTAGTGTTGGGACTGATCCATCCTTGAGAACTAAACGATTAGCAAATCCGGCTTCGAACTGGGCCTTGTTTATAAAAACAATCATCCTCGAAATGCATGGAACAAACAAGAACACTTGCACAACTGTGTTGATGTTCTGGAAAAACAAACTCCATCCACTGGTCCCCTAACGCCTGATTCTTTGGGAATCTCTGCAGTGTTGTCTTGCCTTGGCAACCGAAAACACACTTCTTTGAATCTTTGGTGACATATTGCAGCGCAGCCGATGCACAGCGCTTTGATGGGCACAGGTTACGGCTATCGCTCTACAGCTGCGCGCGCCCTTCCGAGAGCAGTGCCCTTAGGACCGAATAAGGACATTCCGGCGCATCTGACGTCATACGCGCCCATACTCGAAAAAAACTTTCCGAAACTTGTGACAACCAGGAAGGAGTATTTTGAGAACAGAAATACTCAATCAAACGTACAACTTAATTTTTGAAACTTTGTCCATGTTTAGAATGGGAATCCAACTCTTTAACAGTGTAAAAAACTCACTATGCATGAAATAGCGTTTCACACACACACACACTTACACTCACTCACACACACACACACACACACACTTACACTCACTCACTCACTCACTCACTCACTCACTCACTCACACACACACACACACTCACTCACTCTCACACACACACACACACACACACACACACTCACTCACTCACTCTATCACACACACACACACACTTACACTCACTCTCACACACACACACTTACACTCACTCACTCACACACACACACACACACACTCACACACACACTCACTCACACACAAACTCTCTCTCTCACTCTCACACACACACACACACGCACACACACACAAACTCTCTCTCTCTCTCTCACACACACACACACACACCTGGGTCGTTCTGCCTCACGGGACTCTACAAACTCTCCCTCCTGACCAACTTTGTAGTAAGCTTGGGAAAAACAGAATTATCCTGATCCGAGGAGAAGGGGGAATTTCAGGAACAAAAATGCAATAAAATTTTCATCATAACATACGTATCATGTAGTACACACATTTTTTTTCTCTCGAGTAGTTTAATATAACTTTACAACTAGTAGGCCTACAGAGTAACACAAACCTTAATCTGCTGGTAAAGGGTAATTATTATTTATGCATTACAAATCATTTGAATAATTATTTACTGTAATAAGTGGAGAGTAACACAAATCTTAATCTGCTGGAAAAGGGTACTTATTATTCAAATGATTTGTAATGCATAAATATTTATTTACTACATAGGCTAATCCAGTGTGATTTGCTGGTTTTAAATGATTTTATTTGCATTCTAGAAATAAGAAATGTAGGCTCATTTATTGAAGTCTGTTTTCATTTTATTATTAACTTACTATTGTTTTATACAGCGTCTAATGTGGAAATTATTATGCAGTTTATTGTAGAACATATAGGCCATATGGAAGTAAGTGCATGCATATCATGCAAATCTCTGATCGCCTGTCATCCGATTGTTAAATCCTCAAGGTCATGTCAGTGGTCCTCCATGAGCACACCGAGGTCTGGTGATGTTAAACAGTTAACAGAGCCAATGATGACTCTTCTAGACGTGTCACCCCGCAAAGTGTTATCGTTCCTTCAATTAAAGGAAAGAAAGAAAGATGACAGCTAATTTTCCTGCATAATATCACTCATTTTTAATTCATCTAAAGATTATAAAAATGAATTTTAGCCCCGCAGCTCCTGCTGGCTTCCTAAAAGCTTTTATCAGCCAAAAAGCAGATGAAGTGAAACTGAAATTGACTGACAGCGCGGAATAGATTGGGACAGCAAGAATCACGTGCCCGCGCGCTCCCGTCCAGATGGTGGCTGTGTCACAGTTAAACTAGTTTACCAAACACCATTAAACCTCAGAAGAAAAGGAGAAGAGTGTTTCTGGAGGTTCAATGGCGTGCCGTCGCTTGTTTGTGTGTGTAATCTGTGTTTTAAACGTGACAGTGTCATGGGCTCAGATCTACTCTGCGCTCTATGATGAGAAAACATCTAATCTGTTCCTGAAAGAGGGATTTCAGCCGGGCTCGGTCGCAGTCGCCAACTTCACCAACGACATCAACAACACTGGGTGAGAATACACACACACACACACACACACACACACACTTCACCAACGACACCAACAACACTGGGTGAAAATACACACACACACACACACTTCACCAACGACATCAACAACACTGGGTGAGACAGTGAATGAATGAATACCTTCATAAACGAATGTCCCACTATCATTACAGTCACGATTCACGAATACCTTTACAAACACATTATGAACACAGGGTCATATAGTATATGAGGTAATTTGCGAATGTGATTCAGGACTGCGGTACAGTTGTTTTGATATTGGACTAATGCGAGTATATAAAATTTAAAGAAATATCAAAAGCCATATCTCGTATTATTCGTCGATAAGTGTTGTAAGCATCTATCAGATCAGATCTGCGATGTCGCATTTCTTGTGACATAATTGTCAATGAATGTATTGATCTACAGAGTGCAGGAGTGCAGATCGATCATTTAAAGCGTTAAGTAACAACTATTTTTAGTTAATGATCTGTAAGACAGGGGCTTCATTTCATTTTATTTTATTTATATGGCACAAATAAACAACAGAAGTTGACCACTGTGCTTTAAAAGGTAAAAGTCCAGGAAACATGAAATAAGGAGCAAAATAAACTATTAACATATAATGTAATAAAACCATAACATTTTGAGATTTTGTGAAATGCCCAGTCAAAAAGATAAAACTTTAACTTAAAGCTACACTGTGTGGGATTATCTCCCATCTAACGGTGAAATTGTATGACTACAACTGAATATTACTTTCTAGCCCCTCCCATTCCAAGAATACTTGATTAGTTGGTAGAAGTGATTACACATTAATGAGCACTTATAATTTTGAAAGAAGAAAGTTTTTTTTTTTGCTAAGAATCATAAAAAAAATGACACAGTGTAGCTTTAAACCTTAAACTCGTGTAAAGAGGACAGGAATCTCGAGGATAAGGGGAAGCTAGGACCGACCACTGCGAAAGCACGACCCCCTCTCGATTTACATCGGGAATCTGGCTGGGACAGATTATAACTGCTTGTGGACTGTAGGAACCTACCGGGCACGCTCAAAGGTCAAAGTTCAGATAGGTAAGAGGGTGCAAGACCATTTAAGGATTTGAAAACAAACAACAATATTTTAAAATCAATTATGACACACTGGCAACCAGTTAAGAGACATTAAAATAGGAGTAATATGTTCATGTTTGCGAACCCCAGTTAGGAATTTTGAGCCATTTGAAGCCTTGTAATGGAAAACTGGGATATTCCTGCATATAAAGAATTACAGTAATCCAGGCGGGATCGAACGCAAGCATGTGTGACTCTTTCAAGCTCTTTAGGTGATAGGAAAGACTTTACTCTAGATAAAAGCTTCAGGTGTAAAAAGCTTGATTTCTGTGTTTGTGTTTATCCTAGCCTAGAAATCGGGACGCACCCTAGTGGCAGCACATTTTATTTTGCAGCCAGTTATGTCTAGCAACTCTCCGTTGGCTTGCGAGCTCTAGTCAGGCCAATCACGTCGTGTATAGAGTCGGTGGGCGGGCTTAACACAATGACGGCAGAGTTGCGACGGTTCCTCGTGAATTCGCCGCTACTTGGAAATGTATGGCTGGCGAACAGCGGCCTTTCACATCAGCTTTGGCCGCGACTCTGGAAGACTTGGAGTTAAGCTTTTCTCTGAGAAAAGAACAAAGGAACGGCACTGAAGTCATTCTTAAAAAAGGAAGATGTGTTTGGAGTTTTGCAGACGGAGAAAAAGTTTGATCTATCAACTAGCTCCGCTGGTGGGGAAACGCATGCATAGTGGCTCTGACTACGTCACCTGCTTCGTTGCTCTGGCTGGTTGTAGCGCTATCCTATTGCGTGCAGAGGGGATTTGAACCATTAATCCCGGCCCTCGGATTGAGCCCTGCCAAGGGTGTGTTCCCAGACTCGACATCTTGATGTGGGTCTGGCTTGTCAGGCCATGTTTATCCAGCTTAAGGGAGGAATCCAAAGTAACTCCCCAGACTTTTAACCGTGGGTTTGATGTAGGAATACAGGTTTGCATTTCCTACAGAGGGCCCGAACACAATAGCCTTTAAATGTAAAAACTTTGAGGACATCCAGGATTCGATGTCGTGTAAGCAAGCAAATAGGGTTTCTAGGCCTTTTGTGTCTGTGCGCTTGAAAGGCAGATAGATTTGAGTATCGTCTGCATACGAGTGAAAAGGCACGGAGTGCCTTATATAATATATATAAATTTAACAGGAAATGTACTGTAGGATCATATTTACAACATATACTCAACATCATATTTAAAACAGTTAAAATAATCTCTACTATTTTTTTTTAAATTATGGGCAAAAAGTATACACTGCATTTAAAAATATTCAAATACATAAATAAAAGGAGTAGAATATATCTAATATACTCTATTCCTGTAGATGAATAATAACAGTACGAGCACTGGTTTGTGTTTTAACTGTGAGCATGCACATGTTGGACAGAAGAGGACTGTGGGAAATCTCACATCTACACCGTCAGAAGAGAAAACATGTTCACACGTCCTCTAAACACAGCCATACTGGATTCTGCTCCCGCTATCGGCCGGATTCGGCTAAAAGTAACTTAAGACATCTGTAGCGGAAACCTTAACATTGAAACTAACCAACACATTAATCAACAAAACTAACAAAAATAAATAAAAAAACGTAGTAGTGATTTTTAGTCTTTGTTACTCAATATTTTAATCTGTACAATTTTGAGTGTTTACAATCCACCTGCATTAAACACTCGATACAACTTCAGCACTGTTAAAACACTAAAGCTGAATAAGATGGAAAACTGCCACTGAACAAAAACAGAAAGGAGAAATAAAAGAAGAAAGAATAGAGTAAAAGGCATCGCTGGTCTTGAAGGATCCGCATCTAGTGAGGCGCAGTCAGCAGAGGGAATGCTGGGTAATGATCCTCAACCACCTGTGGGGAAAACAACATTTCAGAATTGCATTTCGCAACCTCCCTAAATAATATACCGTCCCTCATTTCCATTATCACTCAGTCTGAGTGTTTACAGTTTTTCTCGATTGCTTAAACGCATTTCTTGAAACAATGGCTCGTATTCTCTAAACTCTAAACACACATCCATAACGCCTCACCCAGTTCCCCAAACATCCTATTCTCGGGTCAAACTGAAGCTCTCCACTCTTGCTGAAACCCAAACCAGCCCTCAGACATCACACACACCTTTCACATGATGAACACAAGACATAACCAATGGATACATTGGCACATTTATTTATTCATTCCTTAATGTACTGTACACCAGACCACACACACACACACACACAGATACTCCGGCCAGCATGCCGTCTGTGGTCTGGGTCAGGCCGGAGTCTCGTCCGCGTCACAGGCTATATTAGCGCTAGCATGGCAGCGGGGGGGACGTCCACTTGCATGCCTGTTTCATTTCTGCGTCCTAGAAAAACAGAAGTATGATTACTCTAACTGTAACACATCCTTATTACAAAATGGAAGCATTCAGTGCATGTGTGTGTTGTAACAGCACAGTGTAACGAATTAACGAATCGGAAGAGTTGATGGTTGCCCATTCAGTAATGGTAAAGTTGCAGTTTTCCTCTGAGTTGGATTAAAGAAACTGCAGTCTGACTCTGTTGTGCGAGTGAAGGCATAGCAGGCCGTGGTCACGGCCGGGTCCCCACAGACATCACCCAGCAGTCGAGAAGCACGACAGGACAGGGAAGGGAAGGGCTTGTGGAGGTGCAATGTAAAGCCGGAGAAAGGCTCCACCTCTCGGCTGGCTCGACCAAGTCAAGTCATCTTCATTTATATAGCGCTTTTAACAATGGATTGTTTCAAAGCAGCTTTACAGAGATAAACATATCATTTAAGGTAACAGATTGTTTTGGCGTTATAGCGGTTCTTGAATAATGTTACTTCCAGCTAAAGTTAACTTTGATTGATTCACCTCCGTCGAAATGATCAGACTTTAAACGGGAACCTGTGATTAACGCTGACGGCGTTCACATGCTCATTCAGAATTCTATAGTTATGTGCTTTTGAAAATATGTGCGCAGGTTTGTAATTCATACAACCCAGCCTAAACAAACTACTTTTCTTGCCTATAAATTTTGATACAGAATTTTGTTTTATTTTATCACTTCGGGGTACGCGAGCCGGAATTCACAGCGCTTTATCTGTAGAGTGGGAAAGGGATCCTCCATAGGGAGAGGATAGTGGATACTTCAGCACTGCATTGTCATCGGGTCCAGGCGAATCTCCTTCGTCAGATCTGGACACGGCCTGGATTCGGCAGGCTGCGGGAAAACCTCGGGATAAACAAAGACACTAATATTAGCGTAGATGCCATTCTTCTTATGATGTAACGAGTACATCAAGATTTAAGGGAAGTGTTCCCAGTTCCGGCTGACCTAATCTATGCAGCCTAACATTGAATTATAGAAGTCTATAATGTATTATGTGAATGCTAGGTCAAAGAGATGTGTTTTTAGTCTAGCTTTGAACTGACAGAGTGTGTCTGCTTCCCGGACAATGGTAGGAAGACTGTTCCAAAGTTTTGGTGCTAAATAGGAAAAGGATCTACCGCCTGCAGTCGATTTAGATATTCTAGGTATTATCAACTGGACGGAATTTTGAGATCGCAATAGACGTGAAGGACTATAATGCGTTAAGAGCTCGCTCAAGTACTGCGGAGCTAAACCATTTAGTGCTTTGTAAGTAATCAACAATATTTTAAAATTTATACGATGTTTAATAGGGAGCCAATGCAGTGTTGACAGAACCGGGCTAATATGGTCATAGTTCCTGGTTCTGGTAAGAACTCGAGCTGCGGCGTTTTGAACTAGCTGTAGTTTGTTTATTAAGCGTGCAGGGCAACCACCCAGTAGAGCAGTACAATAATCTAGCCTTGAGGTCATGAACACATGAACTAATTGTTCCGCATTTCCCAATGAGAGCATATGGCGTATTTTAGATATATTTTTAAGATGGAAAA